TTTTTTTTTTTTTTTTTTTTTTTGGTTGGGGTGATGATGGTGGAAACAGTGCCTCAGTGTGTCTGGAGAATAAATGTGGATGTCCCTGAAGAAGCTAATCAGAATCTTTCATTTGGTGCTACTGAACGATGGTGGGAACAGACAGATTTGACCAAACTAATCATATCAAACAATAAACTTCAGTCACTTACAGATGACCTCAGACTCTTGCCTGCACTGACTATTCTTGATGTAAGTTTACTTATAGTAACTATAAATCATTACTTGAAGAGACTCCAAAGGTAAATTTAGGCTTTTGTGGGCAGAAAACCTTTGCTATTCAACTGTTAAAAATTGAGAAAAAGAAATAATTATGTTTGGCATAATATGATGATTTAAAATGCAGTCAATGAGAGCACTAACATTCAATTTTGAACTCTATCAACTTGGAAGCAGTATGATTCTGTGAGGACACAAGAGAAATCTCCGTTTTTAATATATTTTTTTAACATATTAGCATAAAGTATACTGTCAGGGGACTATTATTAGTGATTAAACCATCTCTCATTGGGATAAAAATTCTACCCAGTGAGGGAATTTTAAAAAATTTTAAGATTTAAAATTGATGACTTTGTACTTTATTGTTTCTGAATAGTGTTTGGGTTACTTTCAAATTTCTTTGTTTTAGTTCCTATAGAACTACTTACTTATATTGAATTAAAACAACAGAATTATTGTTGAAAAATTGTTTCCAAAGGAAAGTGCTTATATTTTTAATTTTATAACAAGAAATTTCTGCTCTGTCTTTTAACAAATTTTAGATACATGATAATCAGCTGACATCCCTTCCTTCTGCTTTGCAAGAACTAGAAAATCTTCAGAAACTTAATGTCAGGTAAATTTAAGCTTCTTTTTGTCTACAATTGCTATCAGACGCTAATATTATGTAATTACTTCTTTGAACAAAATATCGTTGTATTAGCTCAAAGCAGTTAAAAGCAGACTAAGGATATTGTTTTGAATCATAGATTATTTTTGGTAGTTTGTTTTTCCTTTTATAACTACATATTTGTTTTCTGGTCTTAAGAATTTAGGGCCAGTTGGTTTAGAAAACAAGAAACAAAATTTTTATTTAATATTCATGAAATAATTTTTAATAGTTCTTATTTTAGAAAAACCTTTTTTAATATTGCAGATTTTAGTCTGCCTTAATCTTCTAAATGTCATGTAGGTATTTTCATTAATGATGAAAAAATTAATAGTTTTATAACTTTTTCAAAGGCTTAAGTTGATGATGGTTCCATGAATTTGTTTCTAGTACTATCATACACAGATACATTGGAAGTCAGTCAAGTAGACCCTAGCTAATACTTTCCCCTACTCATATCCACCTAGATTTTCAGTAAAATATAGCTGGAAGATTAGAAAACACTTTGTTTAGAAAAAGAAATTCAAGTGCTTAAAAATTTTAAAAACCTTCATTTAAAAAATATGACAGATCTCTTTTCTGAATAAAAGTTAACTGGTTTGAGGAGAATAGTTATTTAACTAACAGTTCTCATTTGGTGAAAAATGCCAAATTACCATAAATCATCAGAAATATTTATAGATACATAAAATGGTGCTAATTGTTTATTACTACCACAACCTCTTCCCTGTATAAATCAAAGGGACAAAAGCACTGCTGGGATAATATGTAACCTCTTGCGCTGCTGACAAATCAAATGTATGAATGTAGCCTACAAAGGCAAGGCTAGATAAAAGTGTAGAGAAGAGAAAAGGACTGTGGGGTAAATATGGCTTTATCTTTAGATTTGAACACTTCAAGGGTGTGACTACTACTGCAGGATTGGCAATTTATTTGAGAAAGGAGTTGGAAGAAATACAAAGCTAGAATTACTTCTCTAACCAGATAGATCCTTAGCAAAGATTTTAGTTCATAGACAATACTTAGTCAACTTAAAACAGTGCAAAAATAAAGGTTAAACAAATAAAAAAATCGAGCTTGATTCCATCATCTCAAACAGCCAATTTATATCAATACATAACTGCCAAACAACTGTGATTGTAATGTAGCCATGTTGACACATCATCTTAACCATCATAGTCAGCCTTACTCTACTGTGTTATCTCACTCTTCCTAACTGCCAAATGTATGTTACTAATACACAAAGTAGTAGGTTCTCACTCTTATAAATATGAAACATCAGATATCGAGAGAGTTAAGAAAGGATAAGTGTTTTATAAACTTTTTAAAATTATGCTTTTTTAAATTAGTTCCCCATGTAAGACTATTAATTGTCATACACATGGTTTCTAATCATCTGTTCTTTTCATAATGCAGTATTTATTTTATATTTATTCTTTTCTTGCTCTTTCCTCCTCTCTCATCTCAATCCTATTACAATAATGGAGTTACACAGTAATTTTTCCTTTGTGATTGAGATAGTTCATTCAGCATGTCTGCCAGGTTCACCCATTTGTGTAGCATTTTATGAGTTATTTTTCAATGCTACATAGCAGTCCTTTGTGTGAATGTACCACGGTTTTTCTAGCCATAGTTTTTCTATCCATTCAGTTGTTGACAGACACTTAGGCAGTTTCCATCTCTTTACCATTGTGAATAACGCTGTGATAAATAGGGGTATGCCTACAACCAGAAATACAAGCTGGGTTTAGAAGAGCTGTAGCACTGGAGACGTTATCATCAATAGCAGAAAGCAAAGAATACTAGAGGAATATCTATCTGTCTTTCATTGACTATGCAAGGCATTTGACTGTGTGGATCACAGCAAACTGTGGTTAACTTTGAGGAGAATGGGACTCTCAGAATACTTGATTATGCTTATGGTAAATCTATACTTATATCAGGAAGCAGCCTCAGAACAGAGCAGGGAAACATAGCACAGTTCAAAATCAGGAACAGAGTGCATCAGGGATGCATTCTGTCTCCATACCTTTTCAATCTGTGTGCAGAACAGATTATTTGGGAGGCTGGGCTTTATGAGGAGGAATGTGGCATCAGGATTGGAGGACAACTCATCAATACCTACGCTATGCAGATAACACAACTCTGCTTGCTGAAACTGAGGAGGACCTGAAGCGCTTGCTGCAGAAAGTCCAGGATGGTAGTCTTCCATACGGATTGAAACTCAACATCAAGAAGACAAAGTTTCTCATCACTGGGCCAAATGGCAGCACCGTAATAAACAAAGAAGAGATAGAGGTTTTTAAGTTACAGCTTGCTCAGCTCCACAATCAACACTTTTGGTGTCAGCAGTCAGGAAATCAAAAGATGAATTGCATTAGTTAAATCTGCTGTCAGAGACTTTTCCAGTACTGAGAAGCAGTAATGTCAGACTAGAGACTAAGGTGTGCCTGATCCAGACCATTGTCTTTGCAGTTACTTGCTATGCATCAGAAAGCTGGACAATGACTAAGGATGACAGAAGAAGAATTGATGCCTTTGAGTTATGGTGCTGGAGAAGAGTCTTGAACATACCATGAACTTCCAAGAAAACAAATAAGTCTGTCTTAGAGAGGGTGAAACCAATTTTCTCCGAGAGGCTAGGATTTTAAAACTTTGTTTCACATACTCTGGACATGTGGCCAGGAGGGACTGATCCTTGAAGAAGGACATCATGCTTGGAAGGGTTGATGGACAGTACAAGAGAGGAAGATCCCAGATGAGATGTATTGACACAGTAACTAGAGCAATGGGGGATAGGTGTGCTGGAGTCAATGAGACTGGCTTAGGACAGGGCAAGCTTCAGAGCTGTTGCACATAGGGTCACTGTGAGTCACAGGCAACTCAACAGCACATAACAGCATAAGTGTTTTATTTGTAATGTAATTTAAATTGTGTCCCATTCATTTTTTCCTACTTGCTATTTATGAAGTAAATGTGCATAGCATGAAAATTGAGCCTAATTGAATTGTTAAGTTGTGATAAACTTGGAAATAGTTCTTTTATTTCTGAATTATCAGCCAATGTATCCATGGATATCATTGTTGATGCCAGATTGATCCTAGATGAAAGCAGAGAATACCAGAAGAATGTCTATTTATGCTTTATTGACTGTGCAGCAATATTTTTGATTGTGGGGAGTCATAACAAATTATGGCTTACATTGAGAAATGAGAATCCTAGGCCCCTTAATCATGCTCTTGTGAAACCTATACCTATATCAAGACAAGAGTATATTGTCTGAACAAAGCTAAGGAACACGGCATGTTTTAAAATCAGGAAACGTGTGCATCAGGATTGTATCCTTTTCCAGACCTATTGAATCTGTATGCTGAGCAAATCATTTGTGAAGCTGGACTCTGAAAAAAAGAATGTGATATCAGAATTGTAGACAGACTCATCAGTAACTTGCTTTAGCAGATAACAGCACAACCTTGCTTGCTGAAAGTGAGGAGGGCTCGAGTGCTTCCTTTATAAGATCAAAAAACTATAGTCTTTAATATACTTTCTTTGTGTGTGTGTACACACACACACACACACACACTGTATAAACTTTGATAAATGTCGATAGTTGTAGAGGGGCTTCAAGCTTTCTGTTCATGTTGTTGCTATGAGTCATGTTTGACTCGAAGGCAATCAACAACAATGTATGTATATTTGTTATATCAACATGAAGAAAACAAAAATCCTCACCACTGGACCTCTAGGGTCAACAACTTCATCCTACTTAGATCCACAAACAGTATGCTTGGTACTAGCAGTCGGGAGATTTAGAAAGTGCGCAATCAAGGACCTCTCCAAATTACTGAACAGCAGTGATGTAAATTTGAAGACTAAAGTGCACCTGATTTAGGTCATGGTCTTTTCAGTCACTTGCTGTGTATATGAGAGCTGGACAATGAAAAAGGGTAACAGAAGAAGAATTGTGCCTTTTAGGTAGAGTGTTAGAGAAGAGTACTGAATAGCCCATGGGCTACTAAAATAACAAACAGATATATCTTGGAAAAAATGCAGCTAGAGTGCTTCTTGGAGGCAAAGATAGCAAAGCTTCGTCTCACATACTTGGGCATGTTACTAGGAGAGATTATTCTTTGGTGAAGAGCCATCGTATATGGAAAGGTGAAAAGTTGGCGAAAGAGGAAGACATTCAACCAGGTGCATGTACATGGTGACTGCTGCAATAGGCTCAAATATGAAAGATCAGGATGGCAAAAGATAGGACAGGGTTCATGTCGCTTGTTCGTAAGGCCACCACAGTGAGGCATACTTTACTCAATGGCACCTAACAAGAACAATAACAGCAACATCTTTCTTAAGAAATTTTGGTAGTAGTATATTGTTAGACTGCTAACGAGTTTGAATCTATCAATTACTTTTCATCAGAAAGATGATACATTCTTGCTAAAGGTTTACAGCCTTGGAAACCAGATGGAAGGAATGATAATTGGTTTGGATTTTTAGTTAGTATTATCTAGTTTGGTGGCTTAGTGGTTAGGGGTTACACTGCCAACCCAAAAGAATGCAGTTTGAATCCACTGTCTGCTCTATGGGAGAAGGATGGAGTGTCCCCTTCCACCTAATTAACTGTTTCTAAAAACTCACTGTAGAGTCCAGGTTATGGCTTGGTTGCAACTCAGTACCCAACAACAGCAGGTTGATATTATTCTTAGTGAATTGAGATTACCCCAAACTAGCATGTTAAATATATTCTCAGAACTTAGGTGAAAAGACCAAATACAAAAAAATAGTGAATAGTATATTATATTGAACTTGATATGTTATATCTTAAACAGAAAGTGCTACCTTTAGTGATGTAGTTTATAGAGAGTTGTGCTGCCATCCCAGAGTCTACACAAATCTACCAGCAGCTCTACATAAGAGAGATTAGTCATTTCCTCCTGTGCAGTATACAGTCTCAGAAACCCAGTGGACAGTCAGTTATGAGTTGGTTCTAAATGGACAGCTCTGAATGAGTGAGTGAATCCCCCCAAATGTGACTTCATTATAGTGTGTATATATTTGTGTTTCTCTCAGAATTCTCTGATATTTCATATTGCACCTAGTCAAGAATTGATTTTAAGCACACAATCAAAAATCCACAAATTGCTTAATTTAAAACCGTTTCACTTTTCTTTTTCCTTGAAATTACTGTCATTTAAATGATTGCTGTCATTTTACTGAGTTTGTACTTTTGGCATGTGACATTTGATGGGTACTTAAAAATTAATTATCATAGTTCACAATGTAAATGAGCTCATGTAATTGGTTACCAAAAATACCTCTTTATTGCTGATAAATATTTCTTTTATTTTGACTGAATTATTCAGCATTTATTTTTATTAATCAATAGCCATAACAAACTGAAAATGCTCCCAGAAGAAATTACAAACCTAAGAAACCTGAAAGGCCTGTATCTCCAGCATAATGAGCTGTCTTGCATACCAGAGGGATTTGAACAACTCTTCAATTTAGAAGATTTAGTAAGTTGCAATTTTATTATTTTTATCTAATTTTGGACTACTTTTTTTTTTTCTTTTTTTTTAAATTTTGGACTACTTTTCATGAGGCTGAGGAATTAAATTATGGGAAGTTGGACAGCTGAGTACATAGCTCCATTATCAGTAAATTCATTTCAATGAGATTGCTAAATTAGCCATTTTATGAAATCAACTTTTAATTCAGAACACAATAGAATAGAGAAAGTTGTTTTTAACATACATTAATTCCCTTTTCCATATCCCTTTCTACTTATTCCCTAAAAGGCATCATCCCTTTTCGTCTGGCTTGCTGCCTTATTATTCAGATAATCCTTCCAAAGCTTGCCTTTTGTTCTTCATTTCTCAAACTGACTACATTTCCAGCCAGAAATCTTCTTTACTTAAATAGAGGTGACTGTTCTGCAATTAGATAGATTTTAATCATATTATTAAGAATGATAGACCTTGGTGGCACAGTGGCTTAGCACTGGACTGCTAACCATAAGTTTTTCAGGTCGAACTCACTGGCTATAGCTGCTCTGTGAGAAGGACATGACAGTCTGTTTCTATATTATTTACAGCCCTGAAAAAGCCTATAGGTCAAATCTGTTCTGTTCTCTGGGATCCTTGTAAGTTGCAATCAGTTTAGCAGCAAGAAGTATTAATAATAACGACAGTAACTTTACATTGTGTTTTATGTGTCACTAAGAGTTTTTATATCCTCTGTAACTCTGGTGGCTTAATGGTAAGGAGCTGCACTGCCAATCCAAAGGCATGTGGTTAGAATCCTCCAGCTGCTTTGTCGGAAAAAGCTGGGCAGTCTCCTCCCATGTGATTTACTGCTTCTGAAAACCTCTTGGAAGGTCAGCTTCAAGTCAGTTCCGACTTGCATCTATCTATCTATCTATCTATCTATCTATCTATCTATCAACTTTGCTGAAGATCATAAAAAAATGACTGGCACAGAGCTGCCAGAAATACAAGTTGGATTTAGAAGAAGTGGTGGCACTGGAGACATCATTGCCAATGTCAGATGAATCCTGGCTGAAAGCAAAGAGTACCAGAAGAATGTCTTATGAGTGTTTTCTTGATTATGCAAAGATATTTGAGTTTGGGGATCACAACAAATTGTAGCTAATATTGAGAAGAATGGGAATCTAAGAACTTTGTGTCCATGCAAAACCTATACTTGTCTGAACAGAGCAAGGAAACACTGCATGGTTCTAAAACAAGAAATGAGTGTGTCAGGGGTGTGTTCTTTCTCCATAGTTTTTCAGTCTACATGTGGAACAGATCACTGGGAGGGTGAGATATATGAGGAAGAATGTGGCATCAGGTGTGGAAGAAGACTTAACAACAACCTGCGTTATGCAGATGACACAGCCTTGGTTGCCTAAACTGAAAAGGACCTAAAGCATTTGCTGCAGAAGATCAAGATAGCAGTCTCCAATACGGATTGAAGTGCAACCTTAAGGAAACAATGATTCTTACTACTGGCTCAGTTGGCAACATGATGATAGATGGAGAAGAAATTTAAATTGTTGACAGTTTCATCTTATCGAATCCACAATCAACAATCTTGGAACCAGCAGTCAGGAAATCAAAAGATGAGTTGCATGGGGAAAGTCTGCTGCCAGGGACCTCTCCAGAGTGCTGAAGAGCAACAGTGGTAGTCTGGAGACTAAGATGTGCCGGATCGAGGCCATGGTTTTTGCTATGCGTCAGAAAGCTGGATAATGATGAAGGATGAAAGAAGAATCAATGCCTTTGAGATGTGCTGGAGAAGAGTATTGAACATGCACCATGGACTGTGAAGAAAACAGGTCAGTTCTGGAGAGGATGAAACCAGGTTGCTCCCTGAAAGAAAGATTTTGAAACTCTATCTCATGTACATTGGACACTTGGCCAGGAGAGACCAGTCCTTGGAACTGGACATCAGGCTTGGAAGGGAGGAGGGTCAGGGCAGCAGAGGAAGACCCTGGATGAGATGGATTGACACAGTGACTATGTTAGTGGGAGCAGGTGTATTGAAGACAAAGAGACTGGTTTAGGATAGGGCAAAGACCAGAGCTATTGTCCATAGGGTTGCTATTCTTCACAGTTGAGTCACTGCCACATAACAACAGCGTATGTGTATCTATAAAACAAAATATATTTATATAACAAAGTCAGGCTTTGAACATGAGTCATTTTGAGTCCAACAAGTAGCCCCCTTTTATTTTCCACTTTACCACAAACATTTGACTAGGTGGCATAGTAGGGAGTTGTGCTGATTTACTAAAGGGTGCTGATTATTATATCTCCTAAAAATCTCCTGGAAGGTCAATTGTGAGTGAACTTCAATCCAGTGACAATAAGTTTGAGAGTTTTTAAGGAGTAATATTCTGTCAAAAATTAATAGCAAGTCAACATACCAAGAACACAAAAACCTCCATTTTTATAACTATGTTTTCTGCTTCCTTGTAACATTAAACCAAACAATGGGAGTTTATTCTGTGTTTAAAGATAAAGTTAAAACTCACATCCTGGAACACAGAAAATTCCTGCTGGAAGATTTATGCTTAACCAGTTCCCCATGGATATTTTTCAGAACCACTACCTTGAGCCAGTTTCCTGAGCATGCAAAATGCTTCATGCAGTGACCAGTATGTTTTATAAGAAAAGTCTTATTTGTTCCAATGCATAGGAAACGGCACACGCAGTATTTCAGAATATATGTCAACCCCAGAGGCGTTTGCAATTGATTTCATCTTGAACATTGCCTGTGAGCACCTGGTCACTAAAATCTTGTGTCTCACTGATTTCTAGAATTTTAGTGAATAAACATGATACTTTCTCCCACCTGAAGACCCTTATAAGTCCTTGAAACCTGTGTTTCTAGAGCACAGAGGCTAGGGGAGGAATGAGAATCTCCACTTTTGAGCCACCTCTCCTGCTTGAAAGCTCCCTTGGTTTAATACAGCTTTGTTCATGTGTGACTATTGAGCCTCTTCTGGTCATACTTGTTCAGTAGAACGAAAGGGCCCTCCATTGCAACAATTCTTAATTAAAAACCATTTTCCTGATGATGTATATAAATTCAAAACAAAACCCATTGCTGTTGAATTGATTCCCATTCACAGTGATCCTATAGGACAGAGGAGAACTGCCCCAAAAGGTTCCCAAGATTATAAATCTTTGGAAAGCAGACGGCCATGTCTTTTTCTTGCAAAACATCTGATAGGTTTGAATTTCTGACCTTTTTCATTAGCAACCAACTGCTTAAACACTGGGCTAGTTTTCTGTTGTTAGGTGGTGTTGTGTCATATCTGAACCTTGCCCTTTCCTGTGGCATCCTCATCATCCCAGATATACCTGAACCCATTGCTATAGTCATTATTTAAATCTCTCTTCTTGTGGGTCTTTTTTTCTCTGACCTTCCACCTTTCCAAGCATTTTGTCTGTTTTCTAGGGACTTAAATTTTATTTTTATTAACAGAAAAAAAAATTTTTAGCATCTAATTTTTTTCTATAAATATGTTTTCCTTGATTTTTCCTTCATCAGTTTTTGTGTCTAAAAAAAAAATTTACACATTTTTCTTAACCACTCCTTGATTTAATCAGATTACACATAAATTTGTTGGGGGGAAACATTGGAGAGACATAAAATAAATGGCAGTGGAGGGATCCATTGGTCTATTCTGGAAGATATATCATGTACACTGTAGAAGAACGTATATTGTGCTTTTATTGGTTAGTTCTTGTGTATCATAAAATCAGAACTGACTCACAGTTGACTCTCCAGTGGGTTTTTAGAGGAAGTAAATAGCAAGGGAGGAGATTGCCCATCTTCCTCCTTTGGTATTTTCAAGCTATATTCCTTTGTGTTGCAGCATCTTTACCACTGAGTGTTCATGTATGTTTACAAAATCCAGATTGTTAATGATATATTTGTTGAGTTTATTTCTGGTTGTAATATCTTTCATTGAAAGTGAAGTATTGAAGTCTCCAAGTAGGCTCCTATTGTAGGGGGCTCTGGTGGCTTAGTTGTAAGGAATTGCATTGCCAGTGCAAAAGGTATGTGGTTTGAACCCACAGTTGCTCCTAAGGAGAAAAATGGACAATCTCCTCCCATGTGATTTATTGCCTTTGCAGACTCATTTGAGAATCAGCTATGGGTCTGTTCGGGCTCAACGGTATACAGTACTATTTTTGTGGAATTGTCTCTTTCTTTCTTCATACTGTTAACATTTTGGCTTTTGTATCTTACAAGTGCAAAGGCGTTTGACCATATAGTTCACAAAAAATGGTGGATAGCCTTGAGAAGGATGGAATCCCAGGACACTTTATTGTGCTCATATGAAACCTACACTTCGACCAGGAAGCAGTTCTTAGAATAGAGCAAGGAAACACTTCAGGGTTCAGAATTAGGAAAGGAGTGCAGCAATGATGTGTTCTGTCTCCATGTCTTTTAAATCTGTATGGGGAACAGATAATTTTGGAGGCTGAATTTTATGAGGAGGAATGTGACATTAGGATTGAAAGAAGACTCATTAACAATCTGCGTTAGAGAGATGACAACAATTTTGCTTGCAGGAACTGAAGAGGACCTGAAGCATTTGCTGCAGATGGGTCAAGGACTGTAGTCTTCAATGTAGATTGAAGCTCAACATCAAGAAGACAAAGATTCTCACCACTGGGTTTATTGGCAGCACCATGATAGATGGAGAAGGGATTGAGGTTGTTAGTAATTTCAGCTTGTACAGCTCCAAAGTCAATATTCTTGGAACCAGCAGTTAATAAATCAATTAACAAAATGCATTGGGGAAGTCTGCTGTTAGAAACTTCTCCAAAATGCTGAAGAGCAATGATGTCAGTCAGGAGACTAAGATATGCCTGATTCAGGCTATGGTTTTTGCAATTACTTGCTGTGCATCAGAGAACTGGACACTGAAGAAAGAGGAATTGATGCCTTTGAGTTGTACCAAAGAAGAGTATTAAACATATCATCAACTGCCAAGAGAAAAGATAGATTTATCTAAGAGAGTAAAACCAAGCTGTTCCTTGGAGGTTAGGATTTTGAAGCTGTGTCTCACATACTTTGGGCACGTGGCCAGGAGTGACCAGTCATTGGAGAAGGACATGCTTGGAAAGGTGGAGGGACAGTGAAGGAGAGGAAGACCCTAGATGAGATAGATTGGTTCAGTAACTGGGGCAACAAGGGGGGTAGGTGTGTGGGAGTCAGTGTGACTGGCTTAGGACAGGGCAGGCTTCAGAGCTGTTGTACATAGTCTCTCTGAATCTCAGGTGACTCCACAGCACATTACAACAACAACAACACATACTCTTTGGGTTTCACTGAGCTTCTTGAATGCTCATTTTCTCCTTTGTTGTTATATTTGGGGGTTTCCCCCCCAGTAAATCTTCAAAGACTTCTTTGCCTTTTTCTTGTCTTTATTTTTTTTGTCTCTTCCTTTCTGAAATTTTAATTACTTGTAAGTTAATTCCTCCTGATGTTCCTCCTTAATCGTTTCTCTAACAGACTAATATTGAAGGGTTTGTTGTCCATCATGCTATTCTGTGTCCTATTTCTGGAAGTCTTCTCTTTCATCCTGCTAGTGCATTAATCTGTTTTTGAAATTTTAGTCTTAACAGTCTGAATACAATTTTCTATTTTTGTTTTGCTGTTAATTTTCGCTTATTTATTTATTTTTGGGGTTTTTGTTGGTTGTGGTTTTTATTTATTTATGTTTACACTTATAAAAATTGTTCTTTATGCTTTTTTAAAAATTATTAATTCATTTTAATGAAAATTTACAGAGATTTTGGATTTCCATTCATTCATTGTTGCACTTTTCTCCCTGCCCACCCCTCCCCTCAGTACACTTCTCTTTGAAAAGTAAAAGAAAAATTCTTTCATTGTTTTTAAAAAAGAAATAAGTAATGTTTTATATTTATTTTTTTTTAAATTCTTCTCAGAGCTCTGGTGGCCTAGTGGCAAGAAGCTGCACTGAAATCCCAGAGGTGTGTGGTTCAAATCCACCAGATGCTCCTCTGGAGAAGGAGGGACAGTCTCCTCCTTTACCAGTCAGATCCAATTTGATGATACACACACAAAAAGATAATAAAATAAAAATATTTTAAAAAAATTATTCTTCGGTGGGTAAAAAAAAAAAAATTATTCTTCTAGAGTTTAGTTTTTTGGTTTGTTTTTTTTTTTTAATTTATTTATTTTTTTTATTTCTGTTTCCACAGATTGTATCATGGCTTTCTTGAACTTTTTCATCACCCCTAACGGAGAACTTAACTATCATTCTTTTGAATTTCTCATCTGGAAGCTCCAAAATAATTTTTTTCTCCGAGAAGTATTCCATATCGGTATTTAGGTCACTTTTTTATTCCATCTTATGCTCATGGATTTTTTTTTTTATTTTTTTTTTTCAAAACTGGTTTGAAATTATATGCTTTTTCTAAGACCTTGTAGTATTACTGTCTTACTGTTAATCTTGCTCTGATTTATTGAATTGAGTCATGTGTGTTGCTTCTCTTGCTAGTTTGATAATTTCTATTTCACCTCCTGTCTTGGATGAGTGTGACAGAGGAAGTTATTATATGTGCAATTCTTTGCTGTAGATCAGTTGAGGACAGAGCAGTTGTTGGTTGCAGGCCTTTGTAGATAGGTGAAACAGGAGTTTTGCTTGATGAGGGAAATGATAGGAGGTATATGTGTGGCTGGATACTGTTAATGTTTCTTGTAAGATGGGACACAGACAAAAAAAAATAAACAACATAAAACATTCCCAAACCAAAAAAATAAAGACAAAACTAGAGAGGTGTGCAAAGTGAAGGAGAATCAGAAACAAAAGGCAAAACAGACAAAGAAAAGGAGAGATAGAGGGAGAACAAACTTGTAAGGAAAGGAAGCACTTTTTCATTGTCAGCTGGGCTGTGGTGTGGATACTGCTGTAGTTCTAGGTTCCGACACGAAGCAGATTGCTGTTGGCAATGGCTGTCCTGTACTGTTTACAATTTTATATTCCATCTGTCTCCTTATTAAGATGTTTGCAACCCTTTTCTTTTTCTTCAGTAGATATTTTAAGTACTTTGTCATTTGTTTATTCTCAGGGTTCCAGAATTATCATCCACACCTGTTACCTTTGTTGGCTGGTGAGCTGTAGAGAGGCTGGTCTGTCATCTCTCTTGTCCACTATTTTGCCCAGAAGTCTCAGTGGCATTATTCCTTTCTTGGGGCTTGCAAAGACTTGATACATGACTAGTTAGAAAGAACTTGAAATAAAGTCTGAATTTATGTCAAGAATATAAATGATGTTAAGGCTTCCACTGTGGACCTCAGCCTTCTACAAACCAAATACATCAAGATTTAAAATCTACTATAAGTTCTGTTAGCATTCTGCAAGTCACTGCACTACAATAAAGTAGTACACAAGGTATCTATGGAAAGGAACAATTCACCCACTGCTACTCAGCCAATTCTAATTCCTAGTTACACTGTAGGACAAAATAGAAATATCCCATAACATTTACAATACTACAATTTTTTTGGGGAAAATACCATTTAAGCTCCACTTATTTATCTGTTCATTCATTGATTCTGTCTCTCCCTTTGTAAAGGATCTTTCCAATAATCGTCTTACAACTATTCCTGCCGGATTTTCTTCACTATCTAGTCTGGTGCGACTGAATCTTGCCAGTAATGAACTGAAGAGTTTGCCTGCAGAAATATGTAGAATGAAAAGTAAGTCTCTATTTTTAAAAAGACGTAAACTTAAAGTTGCTGTTACTTAGGAAAATACTTCTTAATGTAGTTAATTATACAATTAGTAATTGAGTTTTATCGAAGTGAGTGGAAACAATAGCAACTATTTAGATTTTCCTCCCTAAGCCCTTATTATCTAATACGAGAGCTCTGATAGCTGACTGGTGAGACAGTTCGAATCCACCACTGCCAACCCAAAGACAAGTGGTTTGAATCCACCACCTGCCCCACAGGAGAAAGATAGCTAATCTCCTGTGTGACTTCCAGCCTCTGACAGTTGACTAGAGGGTCAGCCATGAGTCAGTCCTGAAGTGATGGCAAATAACAACATTATCTAATGACTACCTAAGAAATTACTGCAAATAATGATACTTTGCTATGCTAAAATGTATTTCTTCTTTGAATTTGAGCTAATACATGAATACTTTTGAGTTTATGGACATTTATCTAATACATTTTTATAGTTAATGGTCAGATTCTTTCTGTCCATCACCAGTGGCAATGGTGGTTTTAAGCTATGGACAGTAGAATGCTTAGTTGTTATTTGACCACTAGTGATTAAGTCCTAAGAATGATGCCTTACATTTACATAATCTTTTATAAAGAAAAATATTTTAGTATTGTATTATCATCATACAGTCTGAGAGGTTAGTTGTTATATGGCTTAAGAGTTGGAACTGAAAAAAAAAAGGAATTGGAACCGACCCATAGCTGACACACTAGTGGGGTTTCAGAAGCAGTTAATTGCATAGGAAGTGATTGCCTATGTTTCTTCCATGTGAATTTAGTAGGATCTGCATTTTTTATATTTTAAAGATTTTTAGTTCTGTCTCACATGCTTTGGCATGTAGACAGGAGGAACCAGTCTTTGGAGAAGTAAATTGTGTTTGGAAGGGTCGAGGGACAGCACACGATAGGAAGACCCTAGATGAGATGGATTGACACAGTAACTGAGCTAATAAGGCTAAGTGTGTCCGAGACAGCGAGATTGGCTCAGGATAGAGCAGGATTCAGAGCTATTGTGTATAGCGTTTGCTGTGAGTCATACTTGACTCAAGGGCACAAGAACAACAACATAAGCTCAAGATACTGCTAACTGAGTGATCCATGGTTTGAATTCATGCACTACACTGTGTGAAAAGAGTGGGCAGTCTCCTTCTGCAAAGCTTTACAGCCTTAGAGATATAGTGTAGAATTAGCTAGGTGCCAGTGGTTTTTTGTTTGTTTTACAGGAAGTGAAGAATTCTGTAATATAAATTGTTGTGTACTGTCGAGTTGGAACCCACTCATAGCTGACCCTCCAATGGATTTTCAGAGGTTCTAAATCACATGAGAGGAGATGGCTCACCTTTCTCAGACTGCAGTTTCTTACCATGAGGCTACCAAAACTAATTAAAATCATAAAGGAATTAATTCCTTGGTTTTTCTCCGTTTTCTTTTCTTTTCTTTTTTGGTTGTTGTTGTTTGTTATTATGTGCCATCGAGTCGCTTGCGACTCATAGCGACCTTATGTACAACAGCCCGAAACTCCGCTTTGTCCTGTGCCAGTCGCACCATCTCCGATACACCCATCCCAATTACCCCAGTCACTGAATCAATCCACCTCATAGAGGGCCTTCCCCTCCTGCGCTGTCCCTCCACCCTACCAAGCATGATGTCCCTCTCCAAGGACAGGTCTCTCCTTACAACATGTCCAAAGTATGTTAGACGGAGCCTCAGAATCCTTGCCTTCAAGGAGCTGCCCGGTTTGGCCCTTTCCAGGATGAATCTTTGTTTTCCTAGCAGTCTATGGTACCCTCAATACTCGTCTCCAGCACCACAGCTCAAAGGCATCAATTCTCCTTTTCTCCTTAGTCATTTTCTAGCTCTCTGATGCATAACAAGTGATTGCAAAGACCATGGCCTGTATCAGATGCACCTTAGTCTCCAGAGAGACACCATTGCTCTTCAGTACTTTAGAGAGGTCCCTAACAGCAGACTATCCCATCGCAATACGTCTTTTAATTTCCTGGCTACTGATGCCGAGAGTCTTGACTGTGGAGCCAAGCAAACTAAAGCTGTGAATACTCTCAGTCTCTTCACCATCCATCCTGATGCTGCCAGTTGGCCCAGTGGTGAGAATCTTTGTCTTCTTGATATTGAGCCTCAATCCATATTGGAGGCTGCAGTCCTTGACTCTGCAGCAAGTGCTTCAGGTCCTCCTCACTTTCCGCAAGCAGGGTTGTGTCATCTGCATATCGCAGATTGTTGATAGATCTTCCACCAATCTTGACCCCACATTTTTCCTCATAGAGCCCAGCCTCCCGGATAATCTGTTCTGCATACAAGAGACAGGACACATCCCTTGCGCACACCCTTCCCAATTTTGAATCATGCAGTTTCCTTGCTCTGTTCTGAGGACTGCCTCTTGGTCCAAGTATATGATGTCCCTCTCCAAGGACATCATTGGCACAATCAAGTGTTCTGGGATTCCCATTCTTCTGAGAGTCAGCTACAGTTTGTTATGATCCACATAGTCAGATGCCTTTGCATAGTCAATAAAACAGATATACATTCCTCTGGTATTCCCTGCTTTCAGCTAAGATCCACCTAACATCAGCTACAATATCCCTAGTACCACAATCCCTTCTAAACCCAGCCTGGACTTCTGGCAGTTCTCTGCTGATGTGCTGTTTCCATCGGTTTTGGATAATCTTTAGTAGAATCTTGCTTGCATGTGAAATTAATGAGATTGTTCTATAGTTTCCACTCTGTTGGATCACCCTTTGGGATGGGAACAAATATAGGTCTCTTCCAGTCAGTTGGCCAAGTGGTGGTTCTCCACATTTCTTGGCATAACTTGGTGAGCACATCCAGGGCAGTATCGGTTAGCTGAAATATGTCAATTGGTATACCGTCTATTCCTGGGGCCTTATTTTTGCTATTTCCTTCAAAGCAGCTTGAACTTCTTCTTTCATTACCATAGGCTCTTTCTCATATGTTGTTTCATGAAATTCTTCTGTGTCTTCCAATTCCTTTTGATACAGTGACTCAGTATATTCTTTCCATCTTCTTTTAATACTTCCTTGATCATTTAATATTCTGCCGAAAGCATCCTTGATTATAGCAACTCAAGGTTTGAATTTGTTTTTCAGTTTCTTGAGCTTAAGAAATGCTAAGCGAGTTCGGCCCTTTTGATTTTCTGACTCCAACTCCTTGCACATTTCATTGTGATATTTTACTTTGTCAGCCTGCACTGCTTTTTGAAATCTTCTATTCAACTCTTTGGTATCTTGAGTTCTTCCTTGTGCTTTCGCTTCTCTGCACTCCAGTATTGTACTGTAATTAAAGAGTTCTGCTTGAAGTGTCATAGATCTTGTCAGAGTGTTAGTCAAGGCATTATGGAAGGCATGTAATAAAAGAAAGGAAGGAATAAAGGCAGGGAAGAAAGAAGATGGTATGGAGAGATGGTAGAAGGAAAGGGAATATACATAGAAACTCAACACTTGGCAGAAGTTAACATGAAATACAGATGTGTCCAAAACTAACAGTTTTATGATATAAGTTTATGCAACTAGTGTGCATGCATGTTTATACTTCTTTAATTAGCTTGGGGTATAGCTACATAATAACTAATGGAAACAGTCATTTCTTATTGTATGGAGTTTGCACATTTCAGAGTACTTTAACAGATTGGAATACTGTATTTTTACATTTCAAGATGACCTGGATTGTTAAATAATTAATATATTTCTCTTTAATTACAATTAAATAGAAAATACTTAGTATATGCTAATTTGTTTTATGACATTATAGTTTTCCTGATTATTATAGCCATATATATGGGAGCACTGGTTTGCAAATCCTCCTAGTGATTCTTTACACATCCTTTGAAGATACATATGACAGTATGCCATTATTTCTTTCTCTATGAAAGTATTTTTATTTTCTATTAAATATACATAGGATTAAAGCATTTGGATTGCAATTCAAATCTCTTGGACACTATACCTTCTGAATTGGCTGGCATGGAATCATTGGAATTACTTTATTTGAGGAGGAATAAGTTACGTTCTTTGCCAATATTTTCTTCTTGTAAATTACTGAAGGTACTGTTTAATTGATTATTAAGTTACTTTATATTTTCTAAATGTTAATGATGAAAATGAACTTTTAGAAGTTTTTTTAAAACAATCTTTTTTTTTTAAATATAGGGTAGTTTTATCTTTTTCCTCTATTAGTATTTTTAAAGATTATATTTTTTTCTGTTACTAGTAACCATAGGGTTGTTGTTTTTTTAATTATTAACTTGAGACTAATAATTTTTCCATTTCTTATAGTTAATAGTTTACAGGAATAAAAATACAAGTAATGAAATAAAAATGGTAGGAGACCTGGAATATTAAAGAAATATTAGGAATTTTTTTTTCCTCTTTTCTTGCTTTGTGCCACCAAATCAGATCTTACTGGCACAGAGGAGATTGCCCCTCCTTCTCCAGTGGAGCATCTGGTGAATTCAAACTGTGCACCTTTGGAATTGCAGCAAACCTTCTTGCCACTAGGCCACCAGAGCTCCCTTAGAGACATAATACCAATATGTCACTAATTCTAAAAGTAGCTGTTAGCCTTCATATTTAACTGATCACAAATTGGTATTTTTAAAATAAATTGCTTTCTTTTGGTTTTAAGTGTGTAACAAATTGCTTTCTAAGTTTGCCATGCTCTGTTTTCTTTCATATGTACCTCTATATTAAAATCATTTTTTTAAAATAGAAGAATGCCAGTAATAAGTAATAAACATAAGAAATAAGTTGTTATTTACAGTTTAGTTTAATTACTAGCCTGAAATTGTAATTTCCGTTAGTGGAAAATCAGTATATATAATTTTTAATAACTACTTAAAAAGCTGAATAATAAATTAATAAGAACATAATGTGGCTTGATAGTGACTGATTTGAAACTGTAATTTTTCATCACTATAGAGCTTGAATTTATAGTTTCTACGATTTAATGCATGACTATTAAGTAATTTTATCTCTCTGCTTTGGTTTGTAAACTTGACTTTTCCAAATTAAGTCTGATTTTTAAATGGCAAAAAATTCCTTCTATGTGTATATATCTATTTCTGTGTATTAGTAAATTTTGGCCATCTTGCCATCTTCAGTTATAAAATAATTTAAATATTAGTGAAAATTTGAACATATTGATTATCAGAAATTTGGTTTTTTTTTCCAGTTTAAATGATTTGAAGTGAAGAATATCACAATTTGCCTTTTATTATATGTTACATAACTGAAAGCAGAAATACATATCCCTGTTCTTTGGTTTTTAGGAATTGCACTTGGGTGAAAACCAGATTGAAACATTAGAAGCAGAACACCTAAAACATCTGAATTCTATCCTTGTGCTAGACCTGAGGGATAACAAGTTAAAATCTATTCCAGATGAAATTACACTATTACAATCTTTGGAAAGACTTGATCTAAGTAACAATGATATTAGTAGGTAAGTTTAACGATCAAATGAATTAGAAACGCCTGTATTTCATTATAATTCATAAGTTGAAATAATTTAAAAGCAAGCAGAGGAATGAATTTTTTTCCCTTTAATCTAATAAATATTTAACTACACACACATAAAAAGATTAATTCGACACTTTCCTTACAAGCTTACTGTGATAGCATAAGCAGATATTGGAAGCAGGAGTGAGTGGCATCCATTTCCCAAACAGCATTGTTGTCTCAGGAAACTATGAACTTTGATACAAATGAGGATATTTAAAGAAAGGCTTCAGACCTTTTGTTCATAGGGTCACTATGAGTCTTGCTTCTGTTGATCGCAGTCAACAATACAACAACAACATTTACAAGTTACCTTAACCTACACAAAGTTCTAGTGGCATGACAAATTATATGTTAATTTACAACCTTAGATATCTGATGGAGAATCTCTGTAATTGGAAATTAACTCACTAGACCCACTAGAATATAAATTTTAACACATTTTGATTTTTACCTATTTTTAGTACCCTCTTATCTCCTAGATCTGCGTCTTACACAAGAAGGTGGAGGATAAAAATATTTATTGAATTTGTTAAGGGAATGTAAGCTATCAAATAGAGATAATTATTTGAATGTTTCTTGAGAGGAATCAGGAGACACTTTATGGAAGAGGCAACATTTTTAGATGACTTTTCTGACTGGGACTAGGATGATTCAAGTTAGTTGCCTTACAATATTAAAACCAAAAAAAGGTGTCTTATTTAAAGTTTCCTAAGTTATAGAATCATATTTGTGCCTAGTTTCATGAAGCATGTAAATTTTGAGATTCATTCATATGTTTATTTGTATTAATTAGTACATTTATTTTGATTTTTAAGTAATAGTTCTCAACTTTCATCTTTACTAGTTGTTGGACATTATTGCAGTTTTCAGTGTTTTGAATATTATGAGTATCCTCTTACCAACATTTCCATTTAAGTCTTTGTGCAGGTAGTTTTCTTACTAGTAGTGTATAATTTTTACTTTTATATTCTTGTTATAATACTTAAAAGCAAATATTTTTATATCCCCATGCCAATATCTAGTAAATTAATAGGTGTTTAAAAAATTGTATACTTTGTATATTGAAAATGAAAAATTTCTTTATTGAATGAAAACATTAATTGGGTTGCTAAAATATTTTGCTTTACTTTTCATCATTTTTTTTTTGTTTACAAAGACTTTTATTTACTTGAACAAAATTAAACATTTAATGTCATTGGGGCATGACTTATCTTTAATCATTCAAATTGCTTCTTTCAAATTACCACATTCATTTATTAGCACTGAATATAACTAGCAAATACTTTATTCTTACTTTCTTACCAGTCTTAGTATGACAACTCAAAATCAATCTGATATTTCTCTTATAGGTTCAGCATTTATTTTAAAAAGAAATATTTTAATACTACATTATTTTGGGACTATTACATGATATAAAATTTGTTCTAAATTATAAGTTTTTTAGTTAACTATTTGAATTTGAATTACATTTCATTTAATATTTTCCTTGAAATGAACTTAATCTTTTATAGCCTTCCCTATTTATTGGGAAATCTTCACTTGAAATTTTTGGCACTAGAAGGAAATCCTTTGAGAACCATTCGAAGAGAAATTATAAGTGTAAGTATATTTCTAACTTAGCTTTTTGTTTTTTATTTGAAATTCAGATATACATGCTAATCTTAGTGAATATATGTCCTTTTTTTTCACCTTCAAGAAAGGAACCCAAGAAGTCCTAAAATATCTACGGAGCAAGATCAGAGGTACTTTTCTATATCACCCTATGTTTTGAAGGATAATAGGAAAGATGATGAAGTGTTATTAGTAAATAAACTTCTTTGTTGTTGGTTGTTGATTGCCTTTGAGTAGAGCACAACTCATAGTGGCCCTATGAACAAAAGGCCTGAAGCCTTTCTGTAACTATTATCATTTATCAAAGTTCAGAGAGTTTCCAGAGGCATGTTGTTTAGGAAATGGATGCCAATCCTTCCAAAATTTTCTTATACTGGTAACTCCACCAAAAACTGTCCACCATGGGTAATCATTATGGCATTTGACATCCTAATGGCACAAGGTTCAGCATCACAGCAACCCCTGGTTACCTCAGCACAGCATATTTACAGAAGAGTTCTGTACCATTTAGAAGAATGTTCTTCCAAAATACAATAACAACCAACTTTAACTACAGAGGCCCTTCCCAAGGTATGTTGACTCTAAACAAGAGGCTTATATAAAAAAACAACCAATATCACCTTATGTTTTGAAGGATAATATGAAAGCTGGTGAAGTTTTAATAGTAAATAAATTAACTTTGAGTATTAATATTGAGAAGAATTGGTCTGTGGAAAGAGTGGCTCACAGATTGTATTTATTTCTGGATAATCAGGGAAGCATTAGAAAAAGGACAATAGTAATTAATAGGATTTCTGCATAAACATTGTATCCTTTAATTAGAGCCTAAACACATACTAATTTGTGGAAAGTATATTTTATTACTTAAAAAATCAGACAGTATGCACCAGGAAAGTTCCATCTTAAACAGTATCTCCAGAAAAGCTGTCTAGGCTGAGGTGACAGCTCTCCCCTACATACTCCACTTTGTATGTGGGCATGGAGCGTAAATAAGAGCATATCTTCTACTAGACTTCCTGTGGCCAGTTAAGTCCATTAAGGTGAACTTTAAATTTATCCTATGTGCAGCCTATCTACACCGTCGCAGCAGAAGTTCACATAATACCCTCTAACAGCTCTTTAAAGCTGCAACCTAAAAGACTCATGGTATCTTCTTAACTCTGCCAAAAATCAGCCTCCTGCATCAAAATCCCCTGACTTGCTGTTCAATGTTTATCTTTTTAACCATGGTTATAAGCAACAAGCCTCAGTGGGATAGGGGTTTGTTCTAAGGCCTAAAGAAGCCAGCAAATAGAGAAAACTGTAGCTGTCTAGCTTGTCAAAAAAACTTGCTCTCCACAAGTATAAGTTAATTTTTATTCTTCCTAGAGTTTATGTAGTTTAGTAAGTTAGCTGGAATTTAGATGAACTTTCTATAAAATATTCATTTGTAGGACAGTAAATGAAATTTACAGATACCCTTTTCTCTACAAGTATCATTCAGCAACTATGATTATTCTTTTAAAAAGAAATCTTTTACTAAGGTCAGAATAATTAAGCCATTTTCCACAAGTGATTACTTTTATATTTTTTTATTATTATTTTATTTAGATCCTAGTTGAAGTATTTGATATGCTGAGCCTGTGTTCTTTTTGTGACTTTTCTTGAAGTGCAAGTACTCTAGGCTTTCATAAGGCTTAGGTTCTATTTCACAGTCTGTTTGATAGATGAGCCCTGCTATCACATACTTTCTACTAATGACAACATCTATTTGTTTTTAAATATGTTCATTGTTCTATAGGTGAAATCAGTATTCTAAATAAATGTTAGAATCAATATCATTGTTGTCAAGTTGATTCTAAATCAGCACAGGCCCCATAGGACAGTAGATTTACCCTGTGGAATTTCTAAGGCTAATTTGTAAGGATTACACTGTGGAATTTCTAAGGCTAATTTGTAAGGAAGCCAACTGCCACATCCTTCTCCTGCAAAGTGGCTGGTAGTTTTGAACTATAAACCTTTTGGTTGGTAGTTGGTAATTCCTGTGCTACTAGAATTCCTTTAAATAAAAATCCCGTTCCAAACCAACTCCACTGCCACTGAGTTGATTTCAACTCTGGTGACTTTCTATTTGATTTCCCAAGCCATAAACCTGAATACAAATAGATGTTCATCTTTCTTTCTCAGTTGCTGGTAGATTTGAAATACCAGCTTTTTGTTTTTAATGTTTATAAATACTTTCTTGGGGACTATGTTTGAGGCATTTCACTATGAATCCTAAAAAATTATGGCTAACATTGAAAAGAATGAAAATCTTAGAATCTTAATTGTGCTTATGCAAACATATGAATATAGGCCAAGAGCAGTTGTCCAGACAGAACAAGGAAACGCTGCTTGGTTTAAAATCAGGAAAGGTGTGTGTCAGAGTTGTAGCTTTTCCCCCTAATGATTAAATTAGTGTGCTGAACAAATCATTTGAAAAGCTGAATTATACGAGAAGTATGTAGCAGTCTGGACTGGAGGAAGATCCATCAACAACCAGCTTTATGGAGAAAATACAACTTTAATGCAGAAAGTAAAGACTTGAAGTGAAAGATCAAAGACTAACAGCCTTCAACATGGGTTACATCTCAACATCATGAAAACAAAAATCCTTACCACTGGACCAATTAGGAAACATCATGATAGATGGAGAAAAGATTGAAGTTGCCCATGATTTCATTTTATTTTAGTTGGATCCACAATGAATACCCATGGCACCAGGAATCAAAAATCAAAATATGTAGCACATTGAGTAATTTTGCTGTCAAGAACCTATCTAAAGTGTTAAAGAGTAGTGATGTCAGTTTAAAGACTGTGATGCATATGATTCAACCTATTATCTTTTCAGTTACTTGCTGTGCATCTTAGAGTTGGACAGTGAATAAGGATGACAGAAGAATTGATGCCTTTGAAATGTGGTGTTGGTAGGAGTATTGACTTCCCATGGATTGAAAAAAAAAACCCAAAGAGATCTGTCTTCAAGGAAGTGCAAACTAAAGTTCGCTTTAGAAACAATGATGTTGAAATTTCATCTCACTTACTTTGGACATATATTCAGGAAGAACCAGTCCCTGGAGAGAGGCATTCTTGGAAATGTGGAGATTCAGCAGAAGAGAGGAAGTACAGAATTGGGTAAAGAACTGTTGTTCTTAGGCTCACCATGAGTCACAGTTGACTCAACAGCACCAACCCACAACAGATTTGAGACTTAAAAAAATTGACCCTTGACCTACATATCTTAAACTAGTTAGAGTTTAATAAGCTCTTGGCTGTAGTCTAAGTGCGAGTAGATCACTAGCCTTTTCTTCCATGCCACATCATGATAAATGGAGAAAAGATTGAAGTTCACACCGGCCGTCTTGCTGAGGTGTGAACTTCCAGATTTCAGTTAGTAATTGAGTGTGTCTCTGGAGACTAAGGTGCGTCTGATACAGGCCATGGTCTTTGCTATCACTTGTTATGCATCAGAGAGTTGGACAGTGACTAAGGAGGATAGAAGAAGAATTGATGCCTTTGAGCTGTGGTGCTGGAGAAGAGTATTGAGGGTATCATGGGCTGCTAGGAAAACAAACAGATTCACCCTGGAGGGGATTAAACCAGGCAGCTCCCTGGAGGCAAGGATTCTGAGGCTCCGTCTGATATACTTTGAACATGTTGTAAGGAGGGACCGGTCCTTGGAGAGGGACAGCATGCTTGGTAGGGTGGAGGGACAGCGCAGGAGGGGAGGGCCCTCTATGAGGTGGATTGATTCAGTGACTCGGGTAATTTAGTGTGTCAGAGACAGTGCAATTGGCACAGGACAGAGCAGAGTTTAGGGCTGTTGTATATAGGATTGCTATGAGTTGCAAGCAACTCGACGGCACATAACAACAACAACAACAACAATTGAGTGCAGATGATTCTGCCGCCCTTGGGCTTTGGAGAGTTAGCCACCCTATTGCCATTCAATAACTTCCAACGTACAGTGATCTGATACAGGACACAGTAGATCTGCTTGGTAAGGTTTCCAGGGTTATAGATCTTAACCATAGAAGACTGTTTCACTTTTCTCCTCTGTAGTGATTAGCATCCCAACATATACTGTGTCACCAGAGCTCCTTTTAGGAGTAGTGTTGTTGTTAGGAGCCACTGAGTAAATTTTAATTCAATAAAACATAAAAATGTTAAGAAATGAAAAGGAAAAAAGTTTCCTTGTTGCAAAATATTCCAGGTTCATCATATTACTGACAAGAACTGTGTTTTACTATGTTCTGTGTTAATTACATTCTTTACCTAACACTTCTAAATTGTATCCTCCCCCACCTCACTTCAATCATCACCACTCTCATTAAATACCTTTAGAATACTTCAGTCATTATTTATTATAGTTTTTGTTGGTATCTCATTTTTCTTGGTCACTGAGTTCATCTTGTATCTCCGCCACTTCCCATTCTAGTGCCTGCCAGCTAATATGTGTTAGCTAAATTGTCTGGAATGAAGGAACAAATAAGGAAATGGCCGTTCTTTTTGGTACAAAAGACAGTGAAGTTTATCTAAGTTTCTGACCCAATTCTTTCTTGCAGTACACTTAAAATTATTGGCAGAGCAGAGTAATAGATCAATTTACTTCAAACAGATAACTTGTAGCTCTTAAATTTCAAGATTGAATGATACTCATTCAACTGAGTCACTTGTCTTGCCCTGAAGCAAATGAACACATTTGAAATTTCTTAAAGTGTACAATTGTTTAAGTGGTTATCATTTCCTGATTTGTGTGATTGAGCTCCTGCTTGAGATATTCATGCTAGTCACTTGCATGTTAACAAGTGTTTCTTCTGGAAATTTACATTGACTTTTTGTTGATGGAGAGAATATTGAAATTGTTAACTTTTTCATCTTACTTGAATCCACAATCGATATATTTGGTATCATCAATCAAGAAATCAAAATGCTGTTACACTGGGGAAATCTCTGTCAATCTCTATTGTCAAGGACCTCTCTGATGTACTTAGGAGCAGCAATGTCAGTTTTAAGACCAATGAACAACCTGATTCAAACCATGTTCTGTATACTTTCAGTGTTTTTTCTTAATCATGTAAGAGTATTGGAATTTGCGTAGTGTTTATTCATAATCACGTAAAAGTATTGAATTTACATAATCAGATTAATTTCTGGTGCATTATGTATGTTACTTTTTTCTTATTAAATGAAAAAAAAATTTTTAATCAATATTTCCCTAATGAAAAGTTAAATGGTCTCAGTGAGCACTAAGCACAGTGAAAAAAAGTAGAACCATACCAAGGTAATATGGTTGACACTGAAAAACTTCTAGAAGTACCCTGTAAGCATGAGCCAGTGGTAATGCAGGAAGAAACTTAAGATGCACTGTACGCTTTGCAAAAAATAAGGCCTCAAGAGTTGATGGGAAAGCAATTGATGTATTTCAGCGAAAAGACACAGCCCTGGAAGTGCTCACAAGTCTATGCCAGGAAATCTGGAGGATAGCTACTTGACTGAGTAGCCAGAAGAGATCTGTACTTGTTCCCATTGCTAAGGAAGATGATACAATAGAATGTGAACATTATCAAACAATACATTAATATCACATGCAATAAAAATACTGCTGAAGATCATCCAAAATTAGTACATGAACAAAGAATTGGCACAATTTCAAGCTATATTTAGAAGATGCTATGGCACCATCTGTGGCTGAGGCTGAGGCATGGTAGCATTGCTGATAGACTGTCAGATGGATCCTGTCGAAAGCAGAGAATACCAGAAGAATATCTATTTGTGTTTTATTGACCATGCAAAGGTATTTGACTGTGTAGATCAAAACAGATTATGGCTACACTGAGAAGAATGTGAATCCCAAAGCACTTAATTGTGCTCATTCAAAACCTTTATGTAGACCAAGAGGCTGCTGTGTGAACAGAACAAGGGAACACTTAAAATAGGGAAAAGGTGCATCAGGGTTGTATCCTTTCTCCATGCCTTTCCAATCTGTATGCTGAGCAAATCATTTGAGAAGCTGGATTCTAAAGAAGAATGTGAGATAATAATCAGAGAAAGCCTCATTAACAAACTGCATTGTGCAGATGGCACAACCTTGCTTGCTAAAAGTGGAGGACTTGACATGCTTGCTGCAAATCAAAGACTGTATAGCCTTCAATATGGATTGCATCTCAACATTAAGAAGACAAAAATCTTCACCATCGATAGACAATATCATGATAGATGGCAAGAAAAGCTTGAAGCTGTCAATGATCCTACTTGGATCTACAATCAATACCCTTGGTACTAGAAGTCAGGAGACCAGGAGGAATAATGCATTGTTCAAATCAGCTGTTAGAGACCTCTCCAAACTTGTCAAGAACAGTGATGTCAATTTGAAGACTAAGGTGTTCTTGAATCAAGTCATGTTTTTTTTACTTGCTGTGCATCTGTAAGCTGGATACTGAGTGAGGATGACTGAAGAACTGTTGTTTTTGATCTGTGGTGTTGGAGAATAGAATATCCCATGGTCTGCCAAAACAACAAACAGGTATATCTTGGAGAGTGTGCAGCAAGAATGCTTCTTGGAGGCAAAGGTGACAAAACTTTGTCTCACGTACTTTGGACATGTTGTTAGGGAAGGCTCTTCCTTGGAAAGGGACATCATGCTTGGAAAGGTGGAGGAATGTTGAAAGAGAAGAAAAACCTCAATCAGATGAATTGACACAGTGGTTGTAGCAGTGAGCTCAAGTGTGTCAGAGATGATGAGGATGGCACAGGATAGGACAGGATTTAGATCTGTTGTTCTTGGTGTCATTATAGTTGTACTCAATCAATGGCACCTAGCAACAAGAAGAATAATCAGTTTTATTTTATCTTAAACTGAAAAGATAAACACATGCCTATTTGGTAGGCATAAGCGTGATATAATACTGTTGCTTTGCTAATGGATCTTTTCTTTTTTCTGATGGATCCTATAATTTTGTGTAAAGGAATGATGGGTTGTCATTTTTGTTTAGGAAATCATAGTTATTATTTGAAAGTTCTTTCTGATGCCTACATATCCTTAAAGTAGCATTTAATAATGGAATTTGAGGTTATGATATAATAATGTTATTTCTTTTCATTAATTAAATATTAGTTACCAGATCTAGATTTTTTTATAAATATTGATTTCATTTAACTTTTTCTCTTGGCAGATGATGAACCTACCCAAAGCGAGTCTGTTACTGAGACTGCCATGACACTACCGAGTGAATCAAGAGTCAATGTACATGCCATAACCACCTTGAAAACGTTAGAATACAGGTATGCTATGCTTTTTCTCTTTTTAAACATTGCATATAACATGGGTCACCTTCCAGAAATAAGGTTTCAGAAACAGTCAGTTGGTGATGAAAATTTTGTCAGAGTATAGTAATATCTGTATTAAAGTAATAACAACTGAAAAAGCAATGGGGTAAAAGCTTATTGGAATTATATTGAGCTTGAATACCTATTTTCTATATAATTAGGGTGGTTATTGTTTTTAGGTGCCATCGAGCTGAGTATGACTCAGTGACTGTATGAACCCTGTCCTTTCCTGTGTCATCCTTACACTTCCTGATACACTCAAGCCTGAGCCCATTGTGGCAATCACCACATTAATCCACCTGGTTAAGGGTCTTCCTCTCTTTCACCATCCCTCCACTTTTGTCTCTTTCCAAGGAATAACCTCTTCTAGCAACATGCCTAAAGTATGTGAGATGAAGTTTCATCATCTTTGCTTCCATGGAGACTCTGACTTCGCCTTCTTCAAGGCTTTTCTCTTTGTTCTTTTAGTAGTCCATGGAATATTCAGCACTTTTCTCCAGCACCACATTTCAAAGGCATCAGTTCTTCTGTCATCCTTATTTATTGCTCAGCTCTTAGATGTGTAGCAAGTGACTGAAAAGACCATGGTGTATTTCAGGTATACTTTTGTCCTCAAACTGGTATCATTGCTCCTCAATAATTTGGAGAAGTCCCTGACTACAGACTTTCCTAGTGCAATACAATTCCTGATCTCTTGACTGCTTGTACTAAGAATATTGATTGCGAATCCAAGTAACAAGAAGTTATTGATAGTCCCAGTCATTTCACTATCTATTATGATATTGCCTATTGGTCCAGTGGTGACATTTTGAGCTATAAACTTTTTACAGGACAAACCCTCCAGCTTTTCTAGTCATCATCCTTCACACTTGAAGAATCAACTTTCTCCTTACAATCATAATAAGAAAGTGTGCAAGCCAGCAACTTCATGACTTATGCCCTAATCTCCTCCATTTTAGATAAGCAATTTTTGATTTGCCTGTTCCTATTAAATCAGTTCTACCTGGCTGCACCCTTTCCAAAGACCTCTGTTTGTTCTTTTGGCCATCCTTGGGATGTTCAGTGCTTTTCCCCAACACCACAGCTCAAAGGAGTCAATTATTATATTTTTAAAAATGTTGTGTGTGTGTGTGTGTATACCATCAAATCGGATCTGACTGGTACAGGAGGAGATTGTCCGTCATTTTCCCGGCAGAGCATCTGGTGGATTTGAACCGTGCGCCTCTGGGATTGCAGTGCAGCTTCTTGCCACTAGGCCACCAGAGCTCCCCAGGAGTCAATTATTTTTATGTCATTCTTATTCATTGTCCACCTCTCAGCTGCATGGCAGGTGATTGGAAAGACAATGGCCTGAATCAGATGCACCTTAGTCCTCAGACTGACATCATTACTCCTCAATAATTTGGAGAAGTCCCTAGCTACAGATTTTCCCATTGCAATGCATCTCCTTGCTGGTACCAAGGGTTTTAATTGTGGATACAAGCAAGGTGAAGCTATTGGCAGTTTCAATCTCCTCTCTATCAATCATGATGCTGCCTAAGAATCTTTGTTTTCTTGACATTGACATGCAGTCCTTACAGAAGGCTGCATTCCTTGATCTTTTGCAACAAGTGTTCTTAGGAGGGGCTATTCCTTGGAGAAGGACATGATGCTGGGAAGGGTGGCAGGTCACCAAAGGAGAGGAAGATCTTAAACCAAGTGCATTGACATGGTGAATGCTGCAGCGGGCTCTTGTGGGTCAGAAAGTGTGAGGGTGGCACCGGATAGAACAGGGTTCAGATCTTCTGGTCCTAGGTTTGCTGTGATTTGTGCTTGATTTGACAGCACCTAATAACAACAGCATCATTAAACCAGTAATCTGACGAAAGGAAAAAAATCTTACCTACTTGGGTTCATCTGCTTTGGATCTGGCTAACTCATCTCCAGTCATCAGTGGCAAGGTCCAAAGGAGCATCAGTTGTAAATTCGGGAGTCCATACTTCTTCCTGTGTTCAAGACCAACTGGTTTCTTCATTCAGTCTTAGCCCTTACATATATCAAATCAACAAGACTGGGATCTTCAAGATACCTTGCTCCTCAAGCCAGCAACCCTTAATGTCAGGACTTATTCTGTCTTTTTATTGCTGCTTGCCTCCACATGTAAATCTCTTCAGTCAAAAGTCCAAAGTGAGTCTACAAATTCATTCAAATGCAAATCTCAGAATATTGTATTGTTGTCAGTGCCTGACCATATGGCTAAGTCATTGGCTACTGCCCATATGCCTTCTGGACAGGTTTTTTTTTTTTTGGTGACCACAGAGTGGAGGAGCATTTGTGATTGTTCCCACATGGTTCTTTCTTTCCAGGTAGACCCTGAGATTAAAGAACCTAACACTGTCCTGGTAGGAGTTGGTTCAGTTCTGATATCAGCCATCTTAGTTCCTAAATTCTTTTCCCTTGCATTTGCTGCCACTTGGGAAAGTCTGCTGTTAGGGACCTCTCCAAAGTACTGAAGAGCAGTGGTGTCACTCTGGAGACTAAGGTGCGTCTGATACAGGCCATGGTCTTTGCAATCACTTGTTATGCATCAGAGAGTTGGACAGTGACTAAGAAGGATAGAAGGAGAATTGATGCCTTTGAGCTGTGGTGCTGGAGAAGAGTATTGAATGTACCATGGAATGCCAAGAAAACAAACAGATTCATTCTGGAGAGGGTTAAACCAGAGGCAAGGATTCTGGGGCTTCGTCTGACATACTTTGGACATGCTGTAAGGAGAGACAGGTCCTTGGAGAGGGACATCATGCTTGGGAGGGTGGAGGGACAGCACAGGAGGGGAAAACCCCCTGTGAGGTGGATTGAGTCAGTGACTGGGGTGATCGGGATAGGTGTGTTAGAAGCAGCGCGATTGGCATAGGATAGAGAAAGGTCTAGGGCTGTTGTACATAGGGTCGCTAATAATCGCAGGCGACTGAACACGACAGCACATAACAACAACTGATAGCAGAAACCAAGGAATTTTAAGTTTTGTCCTTTCTTATCTCTCTATTTCTCTGTATGCATCCAATTAGCCAGTGTGTTAGGTGTTAGGACCACTGACTTCATATCCCATTGAGTAACTTTATCCCTTGGTAACTGGCTACAACATAATACCTGCATTAATCTATGAGTATTCCTTATCCAGAGATTAAAGGTTTCTCATTCTCTTGTTTGTCCATTTTTCACCAACAACATATGTTACAGAAAGTCTGGACCTTTGTAGCGAACCACATTACTCTCACGCTAATTGTATTCAATTCAGCTAAAATGATTCTGCTAAGATTAGTAGTAGGTTAAGATTAGTTACAAGAAATGTAGAGTCAGCATTGTCCCAGATGTTTGATTTACTGTGTGACTCTGTGATTTCCAACATCAACAGTCCTTCCTTCATTCAGTTCCCTTACTCCTCTAGGTCCCTTGAGTTCAGTCGTTATCCAGAAGGTCTCACAGAGACTTAGACCTATCAAGGGAATGACTCACACAATGGTAGACATGTAGGCCAGTTTTGCAGAGACTGGTGAGCAGGTAGACTATCAGTTGCAATACAGCTGGAAAGAGGGTATTTCAAAGAGGTTCCAAGAGCTTATGGAAGGTAGGGCTTATGTTCCACCCTAATCCTCTCCTTAATACAATAAATGCTTTACCACAAAATAAAGAGTTAATCCATTGGCTAGAAAGAACATTTTGAATGATAAACCTTTGAGTACTCAACTTGGTTTTCACTTCTTGCCTGCTAGTCTTTCATCTTCGTAGACATCATTTTCGAAACCAGCTTGCTTTTGCCTCACTAACACAAAATAGTATCCTTCTGTGTTCATATTTTTGTTGTTTCCTCCCAGTTCAGTTGGATAGTTTATTGCACTGGAGTGCAGAGAAGCCAAAGCACAAGGAAGATTTCAAGATACTAAAGAGTCTAATAGAAGATTTCAAAAGGCAACACAGGATAACAAAGTAAAAGATTACAATGAAATGTTTAAGGAGTGGAGTAAAAAAAATCAAAAGGGCCAAACTCGCTTAGCATTTTTTAAGCTCAAGGAACTGAAGAACAAATTCAAACCTTGAGTTGCTATAATCAAGGATGCTTTCGGCAGAATATTAAATGATCAAGGAAGTATTAAAAGAAGATGGAAAGAATATACTGAGTCACTGTATCGAAAGGAATTGGAAGACACAGAAGAATTTCATGAAACAACATATGAGCAAGAGCCTATGGTGATGAAGGAAGAAGTTCAGGCTGCTTTGAAGGAAATAGCAAAAGATAAGTCCCCAGGAATAGGTGGTATTCCAGTTGACATATTTCAGCTAAAAGATGCTGCCCTGGATGTGCTCACCAAGTAGTTCCAAGAAATCTGGAGAACAACCACTTAGCCTTCTGACTGGAAGAGATCTATATTATTCCCATCCCGAAGAAAGGTGACCCAACAGAGTGTGGAAACTATAGAACAATATCATTGATTTCACATGCAAGCAAGATTCTACTGAAGATTATCCAAAACCGACGGGAACAGCACATCAGTAGAGATCTGCCAGAAGTCCAGGCTGGGTTTAGAAAGGGTCGTGGTACTAGGGATATTGTAGCTAATGTTAGATGGATCTTAGCTGAAAACAGGGAATACCAAAGGAATGTCTATCTGTGTTTCATTGACTATGTAAAGGCGTTTAACTGTGTGGATCATAGCAAACTGTGGCTGACTGAGAAGAATGGGAATACCAGAACACTTGATCGTTCTAATGTGAAACCTATAGTTGGACCCGGAGGCAGTTGTCAGAACAGAGCAAGGGAACAACACTGCATGGTTCAAAATTGGGAAAGGTGTACGCCAAGGATGTGTCCTATCTCCATACCTTTTCAACCTGTATGTAGAACAGATTATGTGGGCTCTATGAGGAGAAATGTGGGGTCAAGATTGGTAGAAGATCTATCAATAATCTGCATTATGCAGATGACACAACCCTGCTTGCTGAAACTGAGAGGGATGTGAAATGCTTGCTGCAGAGGGTCAAGGATGGCAGCCTCCAATATGGATTGAGGCTCAATGTCAAGAAGACAAAGATTCTCACCACTGGGCCAATTGGCAGTATTAGGATGGATGGTAAAGAGATTGAGATTGTTCACAGCTTTAGTTTGCCAGGCTCCACAGTCAACACTCTTGGCACCAGTAGCCAGGAAATTAAAAGGTGCATTGCCTTGGGAAAGTCTGCTGTTAGGGACCGTTCCAAAGTACTGAAGAGCAATGGTGTCTCTGAAGACTAAAGTGCGTCTTACACAGGCCATGGTCTTTGCAGTCACTTGTTATGCTTCAGAGAGTTGGACAATGACCAAGGAGGATAGAAGGAGAATTGATGCCTTTGAGCTGTGGTGCTGGAGAATAGTATTGAGAGTACCACAGACTGCTAGGAAAACAAACAGATTTGTCCTGGAAAGGGTTAAACCGGGTGACTCCTTGGAGCCAAGGATTCTGAGGCTCTGTCTGACATACTTTGGACATGTTGTAAGGAGAGACCGGTCCTTGGAGAGGGACATCATGTTTGGGAGGGTGGAGGGACAGCGCAGGGAGGGGAAGGCCCTCTATGAGGTGGATTGATTTAGTGACTGGGATAATCGGGATGGGAGTGTCAGAGACAGTGCGATTGGCACAGGACAGAGCAGAGTTCAGGGCCGTTGTACATAGGGTCGCTCTGAGTCGCAAGTGACTCGACGGCACATAGCAACAGCAACAACAAGATATCTGTTTACTCAATAAATATTTTTGGAGCATACTAAGCTAGTGTTTGCAAAGGAGAATTTTGCATCAGGATAGAACGAAGACTCATCAGCAGCCTACTTTATGCAGATAATAGACCTTGCTTGTTGAAAGTGAGAAGGACTTAAAATGCTTCCTGCAGAAAATCAAAGACTAAGTAGCCTTCAGTATGGATTATATCTCAACATCAAGGAAACAAAATTATTTACCACTGGATCAGCAGGCAACAGCATGATAAGTGCAGATAAAATTGACGTCATCGATTTTATCTTGTGTGGATCCACAAATAACACTCTTGACATCAGCAATCAAGAAATCAAAAGATACATTGCATTGTAAATCTGCTGGCAAGGATGACCAATTGTTAATGTGTGATAATTGGACAGTTAATAAAGATGACAGAAAAAGAATCAATGCCTTTGTGTTATAGTGCTAGGGAAGAGTACTAAATAGTCCATGGACTTCCATGAGCTAGGGAAGAGTACTAAATAGTCCATGGACTTCCATGAAAACAAGCAACTATGTCTTGAAGAGGGTGCAGCCAGAGGGGAAAGGATGATAAAACTTTGTCTCACATACTTTGGGCATGTTGTTGGTAGGGGCCAGTCCTTGGACAAACATTACTCTCGGAAAAATGGAGGGTCAGCTAAGGAGAACACTCTGAATCAGTGGATTGGCATAGTGACTGTAACTGTGGGCTCAAGTGTAGGAGAGGAGATAAGGATGACACAGCATGGGTTGCTCTCCCTCTGAATGACGGATTTTTGTCTACAGATCCATCATTCACTATGAGTTCTAATTGAGTAATGGCACATAACACAATGTTAACAAAAAAATTCTTTGCTAGGCTTCATTAGAATACTGATTGATGAGATCAGCTAGAATCTTGCCTTCATCCTCAAGATTATGTTCGTCCCTGGATATCATTCCTTTCCATCCAGAATGGGTGCCATTTATTTACTGTTTTGTTTTGAGTCCTGTATTAGATGTGTTACATATACTGTTACTTTTAATCTTCCAAATAATTAATCTAGTTTTGTTTTAATTCTTCATTCCTATACTTTTTAGACACAGATATCTCAAATGCATAATAAAGATAGCTCTTAAATAATACATTTTGAGTTGTTCTGATTCTAAATTTATTGTAATTTATTTTCCTCCATATTTATTGGAAAGGCATATCTTATTTAAAATACAAATAAATTCACAATCTAAAAGCATAAGTGTATTCAATTAAATTTTAAAATTAGCAACTGTTCCATGTTTGGTTCACATAAATGAGTTTCTCATCACTTTAATGATGACATAATAACTGAAATCCTGGCAAACAATTCTTTTGCCTATCTGTATTATTTTTCTTTTTCTTTTATAATTCTCTAAGCCCCTATTTTATGTGGGTGACATTGTGTTGGGCTTTTAAAATTGGAAGCCAATAAGGATTATCTACATGTTGTATTTACAATTGTCCGAGTTCAGTTACACTTTTATGTAAGATTAAATTTATGTTTAATGGAAAATAATGCAAAATTTTAAAGAAAAGGATGCTTATGTATAATAATATTTGCAAAGATGTAGTATAAATTAAGATCCAGAAGTAATTAAAGGAAAGAAGTACAAAGTTGACTAACTACGGAATCAGAAATAGTTTAGTCTCAGTTCACTACTCTGTCCACTTTGTTATATATTAAGTAAAGGGGGGAATTGGCTCCGGTTTTGAATGAAAGTTCATTTAGTTTAAGATAATTAAAATTATTGTCTTCCAGTAAACTATGTGCCCACCAAAATTGACTGATAATTTCTTTTAACAAGAAAAAGGAAAGTTACAAGCAAATAGACAAACAAAATTATAGACTTGCCCTCTCAAGTGATAGTGGACCATTTATTGTCTTCTTGGTGACTTTGATTGCCAAGAAGTTGTGAGAATAGGTGTTAGAGGACAGTATATTGTCTGCATTGCTAATGGTATACATTTTGTGAGTTGGCAGATTTGTGTGGCATTCTACATAAATAAGCCCTCTGCTTTGAAAAGTTGATTTTGGGGTTTTTTTTTAAAAAAAATATTTAAAGACCTTATAGCTAAGTAATAGTCTTTATGGATTATTGAAAATAATATATTTTAACTATTCTTCATTTAGTGATAAACAAACAACTTTGATTCCTGATGAAGTGTTTGATGCTGTAAAAGACAACATTGTGACTTCAGTTAACTTTAGTAAGAATCAGCTATGTGAAATTCCAAAAAGGTAAGAACTGTTGATGTAATTTCTATTAAGTTATGACCCATACTTAGTTGATTTCATATCTTAGTTACAAGAATAATTATTTTCCATAGTTTTATAATTTTGAATATTTACAATATTTCTTATAATTCTTTAGAAATTTGGCAAATACCTTAGTTGTATCCTAATATGTTTTAAAATTTGTTCTGTATATGAGTATAAAGAAATTTTCTTTTTCTCTTACATTTTTAAGTTGGAAAATAGATATTAGAATATTAAAATATTAGAGTGTTGCCCCCTCATAATGAAGTTTTTGAGGAAAAACTATAAAGGACTATCCAAAACTTTGGATCTCTATTTTATTTTTGTTTTTTTAAATTAGTTTTAATGAAAGTTTACTGAGACTTAGGGTTTCCAGTCATTCGTTGGTGCACTTTTCTCCCTGTCCATGCCCTACCCCACAATTCACTTTTCTCCTTGATAAGTAATAGAAAAACTTTTTCATTGCTATGCAGTCCCTCCCCCCAAGTCCATTGCACTATGCAGCCTTCATTCTGGACTCCTGTCATGACAATAATACCCAATCATATATCCCTTTTAAACAGTTCTCTCCCTCATCTGTTGCAATGCAGTATACATCATTCCTCCCCTTCTTCTGTCTTCATTCAACCCCAATGTCAGTCCTGTTTTATAATTGTGGCCCTATGCAATATTTGTCTTTTTGTGACTGAGATAGTCCAGTCAGCATCATGTTCTCTAGGGTCATCCATTTTGCATAATATTTCAGGAGTTCTTTGTTTTTCAAAGCTGCATAGTATTACATTGTGTGAATACACCAGAGCTTCTCTTATTTATTCACTTGTTGATGGGCATGTGGGTTGTTTCCAGTTCTTTGCTATTGTGAACAAAGCCCCAATAAACATGGATGTGCATATATCTGCTTGGGTGGTGGTTATGGTTTCTTTAGGGTAAATTCCCAGAAGTGGAATTGCTGGGTGAAATGATATTTCTATTTGCAACCTTTTGAGAAAGCACCATACTGCCTTCCAAAGTGGTTACACCATTTTACACTCCCACCGACAGTGAATAAGGGTCCCAGTTTCTCCGTAACCTCACAAGCATTTGATGTTTGCTGTTCTGTTAAATTTTGCTATTCTTACTGGGGTGAGATGATATATCATAGTTGTTTTGATTTGAATCTCTCTTAGAGCTAGGGATTTTGAACATTTCTTGATGTGTTTGTTTGCCATCTGAATGTCTTCTTTGGTGAAGTGTCTGTTCATATCCTGTGCCCATTTTTCAACTGGGTTATTTACCTTTATCTTGTTGTGGTGCTCGAGTATTTTATAAATTCTAGATATAAGTCCCTTGTTTGACAAGTCATTACCAAATATTTTTTCCCAGTCCGTAGCTTCCCTTTTTACCCTGTTGGAGAATTTTTTGGATGTTATTTTTGTTTTATGTTAATGAATTGTCAAGCCACTGAATCTTTCAAATAATAATAAAAGTAGAGACTTAATTTTTTTAATTGAGCCTTCTTGATATTTTCAGGAAAGAATCTTCACTGTAATAATTAGAAATTATTTGATTTATACCTTGTACCTTGTATTACATCTTTAATGATGCTAGTGATAACAAAGTTTACCTGGAACAACCAGGTTAGCCATTAAAACAACTGTATGTGAGACAGAATAGGATACTGATAAGGAACTTGGACACTGAAGTTGGCTCCCAAAATCTCCCAGCTCTCTAGTTTTGCAGGTTAAGTACCTTCTCTTAGATTTTTCACTTGAGTAGGGAAGATAAAGATAATTGACGTCAACATCAAGGCTGTTCTGACTCAAAGCTTCCTTATGTAGAATAGAAGTGCCATCTTTTGCCATCATAATCCTTTTCCCCCCAAACATTATTGCAGCCACTGTACCAATCCATCTCATCTGCCTGTTTTTTACTAAACGTCTACTAAGGCCCTCTCCAGGGCCTGGTTCCTCCTGATAACAATATCAAAGTACAAAAGATTAAGTCTCACCATTCTTACTTCTAAGGAATATTCTGGCTATAATTTTTCAAAATAATTATGCTTGCTTTTCTAGTGATTCATGATATAGTTAACTTTTTTCAATACTCTAATTCAAAGGCCTCAATTCTTTGCTGTTCTTTATTCATTGTTCAGCCTTCACATGTCTTTGAGGCAATTTAAAATATCATTGCTTGTGTCAGGTGTACTTTAGTCCTTAAAGTGACATCTTTGCTTTAAAAACTTCAAAATCTTTTGTAGCAGAGTTGACTGATGTACCATGTGGTTTAATTTTTTGACTGGTGCTTACGTGGGTGTTGATAGTGCATACAAGTAAAATGAAATCCTTGATAACTTCTATCTTTTCTCCATTTACTATGATATTTATTGATCTTATAGTGAAGATTTTTATTTATGTTGAAATCTAATCCATCCATTCTGGAGTCCTTGATCTTCATCAGTGAGTGTTTGAAGCTCTTTGTTTTCATCAAACAAGGCTATATCAAGCCACGAGGCCACCAGAGCTCCCTATATCATTTAAATAGCACAGATTCTGAATGAATCTTGATAGAATTAGAGTTTTGGTTATCTAGTGGATAAAGAGTTTAATTGGCAACCCGAAGGTGGTGGTGGTTATGTGCTGTCAAGTCGCTTGTGAACCATAGTGACACTATGAACAACAGCTCTGAGCCCTGTTCTATCTTGAGCCAGCCTCATTGTCTCTGACTCACTTACCCCCATTACCCCAGTCACAGAGTCAATCCATTACATCCAGGGTCTTCCTTTCTTGCATTGTCCCTCCACCTTTCCAAACATGATATCCTTCTTCAAGGACTGGTCCCTCCTTGCAACATGCCCTAAGTATGTCAGACAGAGCTTCAAAATCCTAGCTTCCAAGGAGCAGTCTGATTTCACCCTCTCCAGGATGAACCTGTTTGTGAGATTAATTTGCCTTGGGGGATCCTGTTTCTCTTGCCAAGATAGTTTCTAAACAGTACTCTATTTCTTAAACTTTTATTTCATAAGTTTTACTTCAGCATATTCTTTTCTGAATGTAGGATTTTATTGGCAAGTTGGACTGTATTAAAGCAAATATCATTTGTAGTTCCACCACTGAGTTATTTTATTAATTTTATGGTGTATTTTGTTTTAAAGTACTCCTTACTAGAATTACACCATACATAACATTTTTGTTTCTCCCTGGTTTATTTCTCTTGAATATTTTTCCATTTTATGTACTATTTTTAAAATTTAAATTAATTATATTACATATGGTTTATTATAGCCATAAAGTTTTACTTGTATTTTATATTTTTTCTTTAGGTCAGATAACTAGAAGATTTGGTAACTCATAGAGTATGAGTTTTTTCATTGTTACTGTTATGTTCTGTCAGGTCACCTGCGACTCATAGCAACTCTTTGTACAGTAGCTCTGAACCGTGCCCTCTTCCACCACATTTACCCCATTATCGTAGTCACTGTGTCAGTCCATCCCATCCAGTGTTTTTCTCTCCTATGTCCGTCAGTATTTCCAAGCATAATGTCCCTCTCCAAGGACTGGTCCCTCCTTGCAACATGCCCAAAGTATGTCAGACGGAGCTTCAAAATTCTTTCTTCCGAGGAGCAGCCTGGTTTCACCCTCTTCAGGACAGACCTGTTTGTTCTCTTAATAGTCCGTGATATGTTCAATACTCTTCTCCAACACCACAAGACAACAGCTCTTCTTCTGTTGTCTTTAATTGTTGTCCAATTCTCTAATGCATAACAAGTAATTGCAAAGACCATGATCTAGATCAGATACACCTTAGTTTGTAGACTGACATCATTGCTCTTCAGCCTTCTGGAGCAGGTTTCCCTAATACAATTCATCATTTGATTTCTTGACCCCTGTTGTCAAGAGGGATAATTGTGGAACCAAGAAAACATAAATTGTTAACAGTCTTAATCTCTGTCATGATACTACCAATTGGCCTAGTGGTTGAGAGTCTTTGTTTTCTTGCTGTTGAGCATCAATTAATATTGGAGACTGTAATCCTTGACCTGCTGCAGCAGTATATATCTATGCAATACTTTCTAAAAAAGGGTTTATCAGTTACACAGCTAAACTCATATCTTTTTTTTTTTCTTCACTCTATCCTCTCCAGCACAGTATTTCGTGATCTCTCTCTGATGGGCTTTGTTTAACTTTGGTTTTTTTTTTTACTACTGCAGTAGCCTGAAAAAAGATTTATTGTTATAATTTCATTTCTTGGCAAATCAGATATTGGCATGTTTTTATTCTCATAGCTAATAATATCCTTAACACTCCTAGGCTTAATTACATTGGTGATAAACAACTTGGGACTTTTTAGATGAGGAAAAGAATATTGATTCATGCTTAAAACCATTTTAGTTCTCCTGAAATCCAGATTTCTGGAATCCATGGAGTGAGAGTGACCCTCCCAGGCTAATGCTCTGAGATGTTCTTTTGAACCTAGATCTTTGTGCAAACTATTTTGCTTTAGGCTTTAGTTTCTTTTGCAGAATGACCTACTTGTAGTAAATTTCCAGAAACAATAATTCCAGGGTCATATGAAAAGCTATACATTAGGTTATTAAATAAACACTATTCTGGCCCTTTTCTGTGGCAGTGCCAATAAGATTGAATATAAGAATTTTGGAACATTTTTCTCTTTGGAACACTGATTCTCTAACTAAAAATGTTCCGATTTGCAAACTGTTAATGTAAACTTCAAATCACTTAAAAGAAACCTTGTGTCCCTCATGTTGATTACAATTTATGACAACCTCATGCCTCATGAGTGCCAAATACACTTGTACTCCTTGGAAGTGTTAATAGTTGAATTTTCAGATACAGATTGCTGGGCTTTTCTTCTAAGGTTCTCGTTTGGTTACTCTGAATCTCCAAACTTTGAGCTAGCAGCTGAGTGTGAACCATTTGCATGTACCACTCAGGGACTCATTTACTTTATTCTTTTTTAAGTCTTTAATATAATCTGCTTAGTGGTGACATTTGGTACAACTAACTATATTTAAATGTTGTCATAGTTTGTTGCTATGTCATTGTGTTGGAACCGACTCACATTTGACACTGCAGTTTTTCAGAGGGTTTTCAGAGGCAGTAATTCACATGGGAGGAGATTGTCCATCCTTCTCTCTTAGAGCAACTGGTAGATTTGAACCCCATGCCTTTGGGAGTTCAACACAGCTCATTAGGGCACCTTTGCTCCCTCATAATTTACATGACAAAAAAAATTAAAGAGTTGAGCATACTGCAAGTAAAAAAAAAAATAACTAAGAACCTGGATATCTATACTACACATTGGTTCTCTGGGTGATATGAATAGTTTGCCCTGGAATCCTAACTTATAAACTAGTGGTTCTAACTTCAGGAGAAAGTTCTGGTAAGAAAACCCTATGGGGCAATATTTGTCTGTTACACAATCTCTATGAGTCAGGATTAACTCAGTGGCCAGAGATACCAGGAAGTATGATACATTCTAGAGACATAGTGATATATAAGAAAAGATATATCCTTCAAGAGGCTTTAAGTCCAGCAGGAAAATGTACACATAAGTAAATTGTTACCGTACAATGACAAAAGTTATATAAAGGATTTATTTATCAAAGTGAACTATGTATACTGTTAAATGGATTATGTCTGTGACTTTGTAGAAAATACATTTTAAAACTTACATTTGTAACTTTACTAGCACTGTTTAAAATTTATTGGCTTAACTATTAGACAAATGAATAAAATTGATTTAGATAGATAGATAGATAGATAGATAGATAGATATAGATATCCTTAGTATTTGATATAGTCTAAGTAGAGCCCTACTATCTGCTATTTGTGTAATCATTTATTTTACAACTTTAACAGAATTAAGTATAAGTTTTCCTTAAATTTTCCATTTATCCTTTGTACCTTTGTTGCTGAGTACTGTTGAGTCAGAACTGACTTGTATCTTATCCTCTGCTGGGTTTTCAGTTAATCACATGGGAGGAGATTAACCTTTCTTCCACAGAGCAACTGGTGGATTTGAACCACATGTCTTTTGATTGCCAGTGCTACTCTTTACCACTAGGCTACTGGAACTTTCTTATTTATATCATAATTAATTTCAATATAAAATTAAATTTTTATCTAATTTCAACACATATGTAAAATTTTTTAGAAAGGTCTTATAAAGCTGTTTTCTCCTTTAAAGAATCCTAACATTTTTTTATGGGAAAAATAAAAGTTACAGAAAATCTAAACTAATAGAATAAAGGATTTTCCCCTTATGATATGCAGAGAGTTTTAAGTATTAACATCTTCAAACTGTGTTTATTCCAGGGTTGTGGAACTAAAGGAAATGCTCTCCGATGTCAACCTCAGTTTTAATAAGCTATCCTGTATATCACTGGAATTATGTATGCTTCAAAAACTGACTTTTTTAGATCTCAGGTATTTATTGATTCCGTCACTTGACGTTTTCATTGTAACTTGTCTTGAGTCTGTCTACTAAATTTTGCTCCTCCTTTCTTATATTTTTAACTATGAACACTGGTCATTAATAATATATTAGTAGAAATGTGATGTCAAGTTTGGCACACTAATCATATAGTGTGACACAAAAGATATAGTCATGCACATATTTACTATAGCACTATTTATAATAACAACCCAAGTGCCTATCAGTGGACGAATAGCTAAAGAAACATATACTCACTAAATCTCTTGAAGTATTATGCATATCTGAAAAAGGGCTAAATTAGTAAAATACTGCACAACCTGGGTAAAATGAAAATGAAATATGCTGGGTGACTCATTAGTCCTAACAGGGCAGTTATGGCACAACACCATTCAAATAAAAAAAGTAGAAAATTGCTTATTCACAGAAATAATCAATATTGGATGGTTAATAAAGAATCAAAGGAGAAGGGAGGAAAAAAATGAATAAAATTTATTTGTAAAGTGCATAAAAATAGATGGTAGAAAATATATTTTTTCTTTTTACCTCTCTAGTATTTTCATGTTTATTATCTAACTATAAGTTGAAGGGATGGGATAGATGGGAAAGAAAAAGTATCACATGCTTGAATCAACTGACTTATTCTGAATTCTCAGGATTCAGCCTTAATGATATCAAAACAAAGATTGACAAACGGAAATAATTTTTTCTATGTATCATTTTAATAGGAAGATAACATAAAAAATTTAAACTTTCTTAATCTTCTGGGTTTTTTTCTCCTCCAATTTAGAAACAATTTTTTAAGTTCTTTACCTGAAGAAATGGAATCATTAAAAAGATTACAGATGATTAATCTTTCCTTTAATAGGTAAGAGATAATTTTTTGTTAATTTATGGAAAAAAATCTATAATTCTTTCTTAGAAAAACAATGAGAAGAGTCACATAAACAATAAACTAAAGAGCCTGTTTCTGATGACTTTCTACTCATAGCAACTGTACAGAACAGACTAGCAGTGTGCCCTGGGGTATTTCCAACATTGTAAGCCCTTGTGGCATAGTGGTTGAAGCGGTTGGAGCTTTAAAGCTATCTGCCACTCTAGTAGAGAAAGATAGGGTATTCTGCTTCCATAAAGAGTGCAGCCTTGGAAATCCTCTGTCCTTAGGTGCCTTTGAATTGGCTCAGGCTCATAGTGACCGTATGCACAAGGGAACAAAACCCTGCTCCTTCCTCATCATCTCTGCTGTGCTTAACCCCATTATTGTAGTCTCTATGTCAATCCATCTTGTTGAGGGACTTTTTCACTCACCTACCTTTCCAAACACAGTATTGTCCTCTAAACATTATTTTCCAAACATGATTGGTCCCTCCTGATAACATGCTCAAAGTATGTGAGGTGAACTCTTACTGTTCATGCTTTAATGGCTTTCTGGCTGCAGTTTTTCCAAGAGAGTTTTGTTTGTTCATTTACTGGTCCATGGTATACTTAATGTTCTTCTCTAACACAATAATCTAAAAGCATCAGTTTTTCTTCAGTGTTACTTATTCATTGTCCACATTTTCCATGTATATGTGTTATAATCTGTCTTATATAGTTGCTATCAGCTGGACTCAATCTGATGGTAATGGGCTTCATCTATTTAGAAGCTATCTGCGTCATCTCTCTCCTGTGAAGCCACTGATGGTTTAAAACCACTGACTTTTCAATTAGCAGCCAAATGTTTAACTATTCTAAGACCAGGCCTCCTCAGATTAAACAATAAGGCTTTTTATTTTATTATATTCATTACAAGATTTACTTTCACATGGTTCGATTTAGAATTGAAAGCTGTGTTGCTTACTTAGAATTTTCACAGTGGATGCCTAGTATTTGTGTTTTTTTGTTTGTTTGTTTGTTTGTTTTTCATTTTGAGAAAGTGCTGAAGAGCAATGGTGTCTCTCTGGAAACTAAGGTGCGTCTGATACAGGCCCTGGTCTTTGCAATCACTTGTTATGCATCAGAGAGTTGGACAGTGACTAAGAAGGATAGAAGGAGAATTGATGCCTTTGAGCTGTGGTGTTGGAGAAGAGTATTGAGGGTACCATGGACTGCTAAGAAAACAAACAGATTCATCCCGGAAAGGGTTAAACCGGGTGACTCCTTGGAGGCAAGGATTCTGAGGCTCTGTCTAACATACTTTGAACATGTTATGAGGAGAGACCGGTCCTTGGAGAAGACATCATGCTTGGGAGGGTCAGCTATGGGTCAGTTCTGACTTCATGGCATACAAACAACAATTTCTTTCTGTAAGGCAAAGGTCAAAGTAATTCCTCAAATTCATTGCCTTGAAGTTAGTTGGAACTGAGTCAGAGATGACCCTTCATTGAGTTTCTGTGTCTGTAAATTGCACAGGAGAAGACTGCCTGTCTCCTTCAAAGTGGCTCTTGGATTTGAACCACTAATGAAGTGTGGCCTTTAGGCTAGCACCACACCTCCCTGTGGACTGGGCCACCAGAGCACCTAATGGAAACATCTTATTGTGTTGGTTTCATAGAGTCAACTACAACTCATTGTGACCCTGTGAACAATAGATCTGAATCCTACTCTATCCTGTGCCACCCTCATGATTTCTTACATGCTTGAACCCATTGTTAGAGTCACTGTCAGTCCCTCTTGTTGGAGGTTTTCCTCTTTTTCCCTGACTTTCCACTTTTACTGGCTTGGTGTCCTTTTCCAAGGACTGGCCCTTCCTGTGACTCCACCCAAAGTGTGAAAGATGAAGTTGTAAAGAACTTTAAAGAACACTTGGGCTTCCTTCAAAACAGACTTCATTTGTTCTTTTGGTACCTTACGGGATATTCGGTACTCTTCTCCAACACCATTGCTCAAAGGCATAGATTTTTATGTCTCCTGAGGTTATTTAAGAACGGAGCATACAAACTGAAGTTGGCAAAATATGGATAATTGCCAGACTCAATGAGAGATGACATTCCAGTTAGAGCAAATATCACATGCAAAAGCACAAAGATAAGAACAGATGGCATATTTGAGAAACTTCAAGAAATTAATTAAGACTTGGGCCATAAAGTATAGTAGTAAAGTTAACAAGATTGGTTGGTCAACTCGATGACACTTAACAACAACAGAAGGCCAAATAAAGTACCAAACTATACCCATGCTGTCACGTCATTGCCAGTTTATGGTAACCCTAAATGAAAAGGAGGTTTTATTCAAAGGTGCTGAAGATAATTGAGAGTAATATTTTTTGAGCTCTGTTGGCATGGTCCGTAGGGTGCTGCACTGCTAACCCAAAAGCAGTGCCTCACTGGTGTTTCAAATCCACCAGCAGATTCCCGGAGAAAGAAAGGCATATTCCTCCTACATAATACACACCTTCCAAAAAAAGCTGCCAGAGCGTGAACTATGAATTGGTTCTGACTTGATGGCAGTAGGAGAATTTTATGTAATATGTACTAATATATTCTAAATATTATGCAGGTATTTAATTCTTACAAGAACTCCACATATTAGATTTGGTTATAGTGTTCACGTTTGGCTCAAACTCATTTTGAACCTACTTTAGTTTCAAACCCATTCAGTTTGAATCCAGAATCTATGTCCTTAACCTACTGTCCTGCCTCTCAGAGATGACAAATGAGTTAAAAGGTTTTATAGTTAAGAACAGAATGGTTGTTGAACAGGTTCTGGCAACATTGTTCCAGTTCCATCTTCCCATAAGAGAACAAACTATTCCATTAGAGAGCTGGGACCTTTAGCTATATTGTTTACAGGTAACTATTTGAGCTATTTGTGCTGTCACTATTGTGCTATTCATTCCTATAATCTCAATATAGTAATAATAATTGAAGTCCCATTAAATTTTATTTATTCAGTCCTTTAATGGGCTATGCTTCTTTAATTTTTATTTAAAATAAAAATTTATTTTATACTGGTTTACTTACAAAGTTCATATACATTGTTTTTTACACCGGATCTTTCCCTTTCCTTTACTCATCCCTCCCATCACCCATCAAATTGTGTAACCCAGTGATTAACCATCCACCACCCATTCTCACTTCTCTGACCCCGCCCCCTGTTTGGATCTTCATATACATTCTGTATTAATGGTCTTGTACTGTATTTGTTCTGATTGGACTGAGTTAGTTCACTTAGCATAGTGTTCTCCAGTCCCTCCAAAGTTAGTAATTTACAAAATCATTGTTCTGCGTACCGTAGTACTCTGTAGTGCTGTGTAGTAATCCATTGCATGACTGTATTAGTATTGATGAGTAGCCAGAAGAAATTCAGCACTACCTTTAACCTTGTGGTATGTGAGACATTGAGAAAAGAAACTACCTTTTCTGGAGAACCCTACAATGATAGGAACAGATATCTTCAGGCAAGAACCAGACCCAGCTTTCAGTTAACACAATGATAAAGATCCCTTCTGTTGCTGCCGTGATCTCCTGTGTTTTCTGCCTCATATTCTTTCTTCCCTTCGTTTTTAACGGAGTTGCTCTGTCGGCTGAAGGCAAGCAATTCAGATCCACCAGCTGCTCCATGATGGACAATCTCGTGTGATTTATTATGACTCTGAAAACATTCTAGGGGTCAGCTATGAGTTAGTTACAGCTCCACTGAATTGAATGATAACTGAATGACTGAGTTATGAGTCTTACCAAGTTAATCACTTGGTCAAACCCTTCATACTTTACCTGGTAATATTGTAGGTAAGAACAGTTTATCTCTTCAATTCATACAACCCTTATATCTTCTGTCTTCCTACTTTCTCTAGAACCTCCAGTGTTGTACTACACTATTAAATATAGAGATGACTTTCTCTTAATAATTATTTAAAATTTTTGTGTTATTACTGTGTTTCAACCTTTATTAAACAAAGGAATATATAATACATTCTACTCACCTTTCAATAATTTGCAGGGAATTTTAGTGGCATAGTCTCTGGCAAGTTGTACAGCAAACCCAAAGGCTGTGCATTTTCAAGGCAGTTTGAATCCACCAGTGGTTTCTGGGGAGAGAAGTGCAGTCTCCTCCTATCAGAGTTATAACCTTGGAAACCCTCTGGAGGGTCACAATGAGTCAGAACCAATTTAACAGCAGAGTTTGACTTTTGACTTAAATATTTTGCAGTTACTTTACATTATTTAGTTTTGTACATGTGTATGTTTAATTTCTAAATATAGGACTATGATTTTTTTTCTTTTTAGCTGTTTGCAACAGAATATAATCTATAATCATATAGAACGATGTTGATTCTTTGGAATTTACTGAGATTTCCTTCATAGCATCAAAAAACATCTATTCTCTCTTTATTAGGTATAATGTCTGTCAGTGTAACAGATCAAATTACCATAAATCATGCTATTTAAATCTTATATTAGAAAAAAAATTTATATTTGGTCCATTTTTTGTTATGTTTTTGATTTTTGAGAAGATTAAAGTTTCTAATTACGTTTGTAGTCTTAATAACTTTTCCAGTAGGTCAGATTGTTGCTTTATATATTTTGAAGATTTATTGTTAGAGCATGTACCAGCTTTCTCTGTTGTTATTAAGATTTTTACTTTTTTTTCTTTCGCCTGGGACGTCCTTTTTTTTCATTCCTCAATTCATAACAATTCTGAATTATCTTGTTTTAAATATAACTTTTGTGGGTAATAATTTATCTTGCCTTTTTAACTAGTCCAAGAATTTAAGTGCCTTATGAATGATTAAGGCCCAGCTCAGGTGGCTTAGTGGTAAGGGGTGGTGCTACCATCCTAAAGGCTCACAGTTCAAATGCACCAGCTGCTACTTGGTATAAAGATGGACAGTTTCCGCCCATGTGATTTACAGTCTTTGAAAACCTGCTGGTGGATCAGCTCTCAGTTCATTCTGAGTTGACAGCCCATAACAACAATAAAATAGTAGTAGGTAGCGAGCTCTGGTGGCCTAGTATATAGGGTGTTTTGTTACCAACCCAAAGATAAGTAGGTTGAGTCCACTAGTATTTCTGAGGGAGAAAAAGGAGCATCCTCCTCCTGTGTGATAAATTTACAGCCTCTGAAACCAGCTGGAGGGTCAGCTGTGACATGGTTCAGACTCCACAGCATTGAGAGAGTCAGAGAGATGGTAGTGCTCATTTTATGCCATCTTGATTTCATGACTTGGTTTCATAATTTCCTTCCGTGTTTCTTGTTTTCTCTCCTTTTTTCCTCCCATTAGGTTGATTTAATCTTCTTTTGCTGCTTTGATATGGCAGATTTTACTAAATTCTTTACTCATCTTTACTTTTCCTGTATCTCTTCTTCTTGGATTAATTTTTTCCTAATCTGGGAAAAACCCTGTAAGTATGGTAAATATTCTGAAACCATGAATAACTAGAATATTTGCTCTTTTCTTCAAAATATATAAGTTCTAGTTTCATATTTATTTTATGTATTTTGTTGTGCCAGTAAATCTAGGGCAACCTGCTTTTTAGTTTTGTAGTTGTTTAATCGGTTGGCATACTTTTGATGGCATAGGGCATAGTATATGGACTTATAACTGCAAAGTCAGCTGTCTGAGTTCTTCAGCTGCTCCATGGGAAAAGGCTGGCAGTTTTCCCATGTAAAAAATTGTTATTGTTAGGTGCTGTGGAATCTATTCTGACTCCTAGCAAGACTGCACAGCAAATAGAAAGCCTGCTTACTCCTGTACCATTCTCACAGTCTCTGTTGTGCTTAAACCTATTTATTGTTGCAGGCACTATGTCAGTCTGTTTCATTGAGGATCTTCCTCTCCTTCACTTACCTCTACTTTTCTTAGGATGATACCCTTTTCTAAAATCTGACTGCTTCTGATAACATTCCCAAAATATATGAGATGAAGTTTCACCTTTCTTATCTCTAAGGAGCACTCCATAAAGATTTACACCCTCATAAATCCAATAAAATGTTGCTCTGAGTTGGTATGCACTCTGGTGGCCTAGTGGTAAGGAGCTGCGTTGACAACCTGAAGTCACACGGTTCTATTCCACCACCTGCTCTTTGGGAGAAATAGGGCATTTTCCTCCTGTGTAATTTCAGCCTCTGAAAACCCACTAGAGGTTCAGCTATGGGTTGGCTCCGACTCAATAGCACCCAGCAGCCACCACCATGATGCTGGGTTTGTTTCAGTATTTTGACCACTATTAGTCATTTCAACCTTTTTTCCTGGAAATTTCTTAATATATTTTCAAATCTTTTCTTAGTCAGTGATTCTTTATGGAATATCATTTAGATAAATGTTGGCAGGTGTACGTTTATCACCCACTTTATTAGCATTTCAATCTTTCGATTTATCATTTCCTGAAGTATTCTATGAAAATTCTTCTACCCAGTTTGTTTTTCAACATTATCTGTTATGCTGGCCAACTTATCTTTTCAGGTCTTTGTAGCAACTTTGATATTTTTTACACACTTAGTCTCTATTTAATTCTTTTTATCATTACTTGTTTCTGATTTATGTTTCTCATAGTATCTCTTCTAATTTGTAGAACATGTATTGTCCTTGCTAAAATTTTTCTATCTGCTCCTTTATTTATACTTTCTTGTGCATAGGTTATATTATTGTTGGCTTTAGTTCAAGATACATCTTCTTCTCAGATCTCTCCTAACTTTTATTTGAGAGTACATCTGTCTGCCTTTTGAACTGTCATTTGCTTTGGTAAGTAATGTCTCTGTGGAAGGGGCAAAAGCTAATCTTAACTTCTATTTTAACAGGTGAGCCATAATCTCATCATTACAATGGGAAAGGGATCATGTGGTCATTCATTGCCTCTCCAGACTCACTGGAACTCCAGAGCTGCCTTGATTTTACCTTTCATTATTGCTTTTAACACAAGGCAAAGAAAAGACTACAACCCAAAGACTCCCTCACCCTATCCTTTTTCCTCCAGGATACAATTTGCCTCACACCAAAATCTTCCCAATCTTTCTTACCCAAGGAGCTGTTACTTTCCAAGTACTACTCTGAGAGCCTTCTGCCTTTCATCTCTTCTGGCATCGGCCACTCCCTGGCTATTTTGACTGTCAAGCTAGCAACCTGTGCTAGTTGGTGAGCTTTTCAAGAATGAAATATGCATTTCTTTTGGAAGCTTCAGTTAAGGCAGAAACTCTAGGTTTATATTAAAGGAGTTGTGGTGGCACAGTCTGTAAGGTGTTACATATTCTAACCAACAGGCTACAGTTTAAAGCCACCAGTCGCTCCATGGGAGAAATGGGCAGACTCCTCTTATTCATATTTCCAGATTCAAAATGCAAATGTAGAGTTCTCAAGAGCCAGAATGGACTCAAAAGCAGTGAGTTTCAATTTTACTTAATGTATTAGCAATGATTCTGTTTCATAAAATGTAAAAGTGAACTAATGAAAGACACCTACAATGAGATGATACTTAAAAGATCACAGAACGATTTTCTGATCTACTGAATGTATTCAGTAAAAATTGTTGAAGAGTTTAAATTGTTATTTTAGTAAGTTTTTATTTTACTTGAGTAAATTTATCAAAAGTCTACCCACCTAACATGTATCTTAAGGTTTCCAAATCTAGTCCACTTTCTTTGTTTCAAATACAGGACTTAAACCATATATAAAACATGTACACTAAAGAAAACTAAAGAGTATCTATTGTAAGGCATTATTCTGACCACCATTTCCAGTCTACTTAGGTGTTTGGTTTATGCTCTGATAGGTTCAAAATACTGCCTGAAGTTCTCTATCGCATCTCCAAGCTTGAAACCATTCTGATTAGTAACAATCAGGTTGGATCTCTGGATCCTCAGAAAATGAAGATGATGGAAAACCTGACTACACTGGACCTTCAAAATAATGACCTCCTACAGATTCCACCAGAACTCGGTAACTGTGTGAGCTTAAGGTAACTATCCCTGTCTAAATTTTTTTGTGTATTTGATATGTATTTTGTGGCTTTGAGTTTTTTTCCACCCCTTGTTGTAATCTTTCAGGAATTTGAAATAATAATAATAATAATAATAATAATAATAATAATGTGACAAAGCCCACAACTCCAGTTCTAGATCATTAATATATCAGGGAAATGTAAACTTCTTAGCTTTGCTTACAAAGTTTTTAAAAACTTGATTGTTGTTGAATGCCATTATGTCAGTACTGACTCATTACTGACTCTCTGGTGGATTTTCAGCGATAGTAAGTCATACTGGAGATAGCCCATCTTTCTCCCTCAGAGCAGCTGGTGGATCTGAACCATGTACCTTTGAGTTGGCAGAGCTATTCCTTACTAGCAAGTTGCTATTTCAAACCCAGTAAGATTTCTTTCACACTCCCAGTTTTCTCTTCCCTCAACCTGAAATGCCTTTACCTTGGTTTTGGTAAAAATAACACCTTTGAAAACCTTCCTCGTTCCCCAGGCAGAGTGAATCTCTCTTCTGGTTTCCCATTATTCTTTATTTAGACTGAAATCTTTTTCGAGAGGACAGGTCTTCCTTTAGAAAAAGGTATCCTATTGCCCAAAACATCATAAGCACCCAATTACTGTTTTTTAAATTATTATAATTATTTAATATATATTTTCTAGGCATCTATCTGATGCCTCTTAGTAAATTACAGGAGGCAAGTAAATAACTCCCTAAAACTTTATTGGACGTTAAGAAAATCAGTCTTTAAAAGAATTCTCTAGGCACAAAGATAATTAGGCAGATCTAGTGTACAACAGGGAGCTCTGGTGGTGTAGGCTGTAGGGAGTGACCCTATTAGCCCTGTCTGGTGGTTAGAATCCTCCACTGGCCGTGTGAGAGAAAGACAGGCAGTCTTTTCCTGTGCAGTTTATCCTCAGCAAACCCACTGGGGGGTCAACTATGACTTGGTTCTGACTTGAGAGCTGTGCATTTGAGTTTTGAGTGTACAATATTGTGTGAATCCTTATACTTGTATTTAATATGCACTTAAGCTAGTAAAATTAATAAACGTCTCTTTAACTGAAGATATTCATTATTTAAAGAAACACTTAAGTAACAAGCAATTAAATTTTAAACCAATCCTCAATTTAGAACATGTAACTAGATATGTGTATGTACATGCACAGCTGGCCAGCTGATGGAGAGAAAAAGTGTTAATATTTTCTAGAAGAATTTAAAGGGAGTAAATGACATTGATTATATTATATCCCTAACACACTGGGTGCTTGTCAGTTTGTTTCTCCTAATACGTGTCTAAATAGGATTCCATCATTAAACATACAGTTATGAGAAGACTGAGAAAAGGCAATTATAAAAGTGATTTTAATCACAGTTTCTTCTTTTATTAGCTATGTGATCAAAGAAAGTTTTTCACCTTCCCAAATTTTTATTTCCTTATCTATAAAGCAAGGATGTTAATGGTACCTACATCATACTGTTGTAAAGAGAATTGAGACATGAATGTAAATTACTTAGCATCATATCCTAACAGTCATTTAATGTTGTTTTGATTGTTATTGTAATCCCAACTATTTAAATGCTAAGACTCAGTAAAAACAAATTGGAGCAAGGGGAATTTGTATTTTTATTATTGAAAATGAAATTAGAAGAAAAGTCTGTCTAGTGGAAATGCTTACATTCTTCTCTTTTGTTTAGAACATTACTCCTAGATGGAAATCCATTTCGTGTTCCTCGAGCAGCCATATTAATGAAAGGAACAGCTGCTATCCTGGAATATTTGAGAGATCGAATTCCTACATAAAATGGCATTGTTTCATAGTCCTGGCCAGGTTCACTGTTAGTAAGATATGGTATTTTCTTTTTGTATCATCCTAAACTCATTAGTATAATTGAGCTCCTAGTTTCCTAATTATCACCTAACCAATGGTAGAACTATTCTGGGCTGTGTTCACTGCCACATAATATTTTTACATTTACAGTTTTTAACATTGTTTCTTAAGATGCTGTGTACATTTAAAATCGTGATAACCACATATATGTTTTTAACATTTATTCTCAATGTGACATCAGTTTTTTCAAAATTGTAAAAAAAAAAATTTGGAATTTTTTCCCCGACGTACTGTCGTTCTTGTATAACATAGCAAGCAGTTTCTTCAGAAATGAATTTTTATTTATTATTTAACATGAATACCTTTATAATGACAAAGCCTTTTCATAGAAGTGGAATTTTTTTCCCCATTTCTGTTTGTATTACATATAATATATGTTACTTCATTTTTGTTAGTTATAAGATTAAATTGAATTTTAATGAGTACTGTTCTTTGGCATTAAAAGACTTTCATTACCCCTGAGTGAACTTTTGAAATGTAGTTGGTATAAGTTTTTAATCAATATTCATGATTTCAGTCTTATTTAACCTACTTTCTTTTCTAGCTATTGGGTGTGTCTTTTCCCTATTTTACAATATCTGAGTTTCTAAGATCACAGAAATACCACACAAGATGAAAAATATTGATGGAGAAAATACTGAGTGTTTTAATTGCTCTCACAAATCTGAATTTAAAATTTGACAAATTTAATGCTATCTTAAGTTTCAAAAACTAGTACTTTAGATTGAAAAGCACTAAAGATATTGGATATGTATATTTTTCCTTAGAACATATCATTTGTTCCTTAAGGAAAGTGTATTGAAGACTTTATCTTATTAATTATATACATGATTATGGCAACAGACAACCATTAATAATGAACATTGTAATCTTGACCTGTGACTTTGTTTAAAAATCCGTTAAGCAGGTCTTTGTATACCTAATCTAGGCTGTGTGTTTTAATCCAATCTTGTGTGTCTTTTTATATTTAGTACCTTAATTCTAAAACTTGTTTGAAATTTTGATAAGTAATAATATAGTAATTTTCTAAGAGGGGATTTGTAATTGGTTAACATGATTTAATGAAAATAAAACATAAGGGATTTTGTTTATACCAAAATTTCAGAAGTAGGCTGATCAGTAATTTTAAAACTTAGCATTCGAGTCTAATTAAATAGTCAGTAGTATGGTAGTATGTATATCCATTTAGATGTAACGCTAGATAGCTTTTAGATGATTGAAACTATATTACGAAGAAAACAGTCATCACTAAAAAAGATAAATAGTACAAGGCCGTAATAGAAATTACATTTTTCAAATATAGATTACAGTGCTTCTTTCTGTTTTAGAGAAACATTTCCCTTTTCAGGCCACATTTCTGTAATGAAGATGTCAGCTTTTGATATTAAACAAAAGACACTTTACAATAAGGTGACATTTTATTATTTATACAATAAAGAGACTTTTATGTTATTCAAAACACTTTTTTTTAAATACTGAAAAAATTGAGTACACCAAAGCCGAAAAAATGGCTCTGCTATACACTGCACAGCATTATTTTAGTCCCTGTATTTTATATCTGTACAGAAAGCATCTTCAAAATGCATTCTAATAACATTGTACACCTTTACCAATTAGTGTCAATACATAAAATGAAACTGGAAGAATACAGCTTGCATTTGCAAATTAACTGACAAAGTAATTAATTCCACTGATTTGGTAAATGTAAAATATAGATTCATAGGACTTCTTTGCACATAAAATGAAGCAGCTTTCAAAGTCATTATGGTCTCATACTGCAAAAAAACCATTAAGTACATTCACAACCTATGTTAGTAAAGTAGTAATATGTCTTCATTCAGTTTTATTTACATCAATATGTAGTTCAACTGAAAAGTACTATTAATTGTGATACAGTAGTCTTTAACACATACAAAAATGACAGTTTTTATATATAATTTAAGCTCAAAATCACAATTTATCTCAAAATATTAATTACAGTTACAGCCATTTCAGTTAAACATGTTGTGATTTAATTTTTCTTATAAAATGGTAAAACTTTTTATTAAAGTAAGCAATTTGTTTTTAATTGGCTAGAGTACACCCAAGTAGAAAATGTCAAGAGATGTTCCCCACCCCCTCCCACTCAAATTTGTAGCCACCTAGGCTAGCAAAGAGACAGAAAAGGCCCCAATTTATAAAGATTACGCCTCTTTTGCTATTCTGCTGTGGCTTGTTGGTTTTTCCATAAAAGCTTTACATGGGAAATGTCAATAAACTATGCAGTGAAATGCATGCATTAATATACAATGCCTATGTAAAATGTTAATGTTTACTAATGCACATTAAAATGTCCACAAAAACTTCAAAATAAGTCAGAAATAAAGAAGCACTTATAAAGAGCTATCAATCACATACTGAAAATTACTTGATAATATAATGGACATTCTTTGCAATAGGATTCCAATTCAAGTTCTTTCTCTAAGAGAGCTCTGGTAACTTGGCCTTAAGATGTCACTGTTGTGCTGCACATATGGTAGGTGAACTTAGGTGTCAAAAGGGGATGAGTCCAGGGACTGTCTTCATTTTTCTAAAACAATGTCTTGAAGTTGCAATACTCTTTAGGAATTTTACTTAAACTTATAAGAGAGTGAAATATTTCACTGAATGAAATAAATGGCCTTTTAGAATATGAGTATTATTTATAATAGATAGAATTTTAACTTCCATATATAGTACTAAAAGAATCATGTCCAAAAATAATAAGTATCAAATAGTTTAGGATGCAAGAATAATTTTCATGGGTACTTTAAAAAAAATAAATTCAAAAAGCCTAGTAACTAGTATCCTTTTACTTATAATTTTTAACAAATTAGTTACAAACCTATCACATTCTTGGTTTAGAAGTCCTGCTGCTTGCTCAATATGTATTCTCTGAATAGAAAGAGACTATTATATTATTATTTAGTTATATACATCTGGGTCAGGGTGTATACAGTGAGAAAATGAAATTACAGTACTTACAAACCTTACTCTTGCAAGGTTATTTGAGTAATCTTTGTAGTTTACTAACAAAATTCAGTAACCTTTCCTCTGATTTACAAGGAAAGGATTCCTCCCTCATATGAAGACATTATCATCATCTTTATACTACCTTTTAGGCCCTCTAGACATTAAGTACAAGGAGAAACATGATTAGCTCTTCTAACAAACAAACAAAGTCTATCAATTAATCTTCTTCTTCATTCCAAACTGAAAATAGTAAGGCTTGAATTTTTGTGGAGGGAAACGTATTGGGGAAGGTTTTGGGAAATGCCTACACATCATTAAAGCAGAAGTATTTAAACATTTATTGCATTTCATTGACACTAGGTGTCATCAGAGCTAAAACAAACTTTCCTACAATAAAACAACATATAACATTCCTTACACACCTGAACAAAGGCTGTTTCCACATTCAAGGCAACTTAGAAACCTCTACGTGGAAAGACTCTCCGAGTATTAAAAATAAAATATATTTCAGCAATATATTCTGAAAATAAATTTCCTTTTTTAGAACCATGGGAGCTGTTTTATGCTCTTGTCTGCCTGAGAGTTTTATCTCAGTTTTCTCATGGAATTACAATAAAACCTACATTTGATTTCCTGACTAAGTATGTGGTTTCTTTTATATGTTTGCATGCTTGTTTTGTGTTTTATTTTGTTTTTTAAGTAGGAGGATGTGGAAGAAGCACAGAGAGATTCAAAGAGATATGTGATTTCTTTTACCCATTTATCAGATGCTTTCCTTAGTCTTGTGATTTTAGAGATCAGTTAACCTACATACCTGGGCATTATTTAACTTCATTAACTGTGCAAAAACAAATGTGCAAAGAAAAACATCTACATATGTTGTATCTATATATAGACACAAAACCTGAGTCACAATAAAAGTTTTTACTATATGAAAACTTCTTAATGTAGGAAAATAACCTTTCAAAGGCTAAAAATATCTTTGTACAATATAAGCAGCTAATTGTAAAACATCATTGTGATTAAGTATTACATATTTTATGAGACCCAGCAAAAAAGGGACATGTATATTTGATAATTTAGCATTCTCTAACCATATTTTTCTTTTTAGCATCTATTTCCATTTCTGTGAATTCCTTAACTTTCCTATAACAAAACAAAACAGCCCATTTAAATATAAGTCAAGTTTTATTTCTGATGAACAGTTCCTGGTTGATTGGTTGGTTTTTCCTAATTATAAAGGACATAGATATGGGTTGCGAGCCATATAACTTTGTGCCAAGTCACAATGCGATTATAAAATTCAAACAAATTGATATCTATTATTAAGGGAAACATTTACTTTTAAAGTATTTGGTAGACAGTCTTGGGCCAGAGTTTTCATGAAGGTCTTTCATCTGCAGATTTCATTTCTGCAAAATGTTAACTTTTGAAAACTCTCCATATTTCACTTAGTAATTTGGGTTAGTGTCTTTTTCATTGTCCCTTGGCTTGCTTGCATTCTGGCAACAATTAGAATGTCCTCTTTTTTTTTCTTCAAGAACTCAGTTATCTGGGATGACTCTTTTGTTCCCCCTCACATGACCCATAAATAATCATTAGGTGAAAATATCCTGAAATATTCCTCTGCTCAGCGGTTGTTAAATGTTGCTGAGTCGGGACCAACTCATAGCTGACCCTCCAGAAGGTTGTCAGAGGCTGTAAATCACCCAGGAGGAGAGGGCCTATCTTCACCTGTCTCTTATCATTAGACACTGATTTAAGGCCAAATTCAGGGCATACTCATTCCCTGAGCTACATCTTCAATATACTGAGGAGATTTTATAGAAAAATGAGTTGCAAATTGCTTCTCCATGCAGCTCGGGTTGGCTTTTGGCATTAACTTTTCATGGAAGTAGAGTCATTGCCACATCATTAATTATGTATCTATGGCAGTGAAGTCATTGTCACTCAGAAGGGAAAGCCACCTGAATCAAAAGTCTCACTCCTTGTATTTGCGGTTGAATAGGAAGTCACTTGAGTAGTTTTTACAGTAGCTGAACGAAATCGGATCAGCATCTAAATGCTCTTTCCTTATTGGGGCCTTGAGCTTGATTTGGGATACATTTAACAACTCAGTGTCATCTTGTTGGAACCAATGCATAGCTGACCTTCCATTGTCTAAACGACATGGCAGGAGATG